TGTACTGCAGTCCTAAGCTCTTCCTGTCTTTATATATTGGCCTTTTTTTGGACATTTTAGGTAAATGGAATCATACACTATGTGGCCTTTTGTGTCTGGGTCCTTTCACTTAGCATAATGTTTAGAAGTTTATGCTATAGCATGTATCAGCCCTTCATTTCTTTTTATTGCAATTCAGATTTTTTTAAATATATTTTATTGATTATGCTATTACAGTTGTCCCATGTATTTCTCCCCTTTATTCCCTTGGGCCCTGCATTACCCCTTCCACCAGCATTCCTCACACCTTTAGTTCATGGCCATGGGTTGTACATACAAGTTCTTTGGCTTCTTCATTTCCTATACTATTCTTGACCTCCCCCTGTCTGTTTTGTACCTACCACTTATGCTTCTTATTTCCTGTACCTTTCCCTTTATTCTTCCCCCTCCCTACTGATTACCCTCCATGTGATCTCCATTTCTGCAATTCTGTCCCTATTGTTTGCTTAGTTTCCTTAGTTTGCTTAGTTTGCTTGTTTTTGTATTTTTAGGTTCAGTTGTTGATAGCTGTGAGTTCATTGTCATTTTACTGTTCATATTTTTTTAAAGATTTAATTTATTGATCTTTAGAGGGGAGAGGAGGGAGAAAGAGAGGGAGAGAAACATCAATGTGTGATTGACTCTCACGTGGTCCCCATTGGGGACCTGGCCTGCAACCAAGGCATGTGCCCCAGCTGAGAATTGAACCAGTGACCCTTTGGTTCACAGCCCACACTCAATCCACTGAGCTTCACAGCCAGGGCTACTGTTCATACTTTTGATCATCTTCTTTTTCTTAGATAAGTCCCTTTAACATTTCATGTAATAAGGGCTTGGTCATGATGAACTCCTTTAACTTGACCTTATCTGGGAAGCACTTTATATGCCCTTCCATTCTGGAATGATATCTTTGGTGGATAGAGTAATCTTGGATGTGAATCCTTGCCTTCCATGACTTCAAATACTTCTTTCCAGCCCCTTCTTTCCTGCCAAGTTTCTTTTGAGAAATCAGCTGACACTCTTATGGGAACTCTTTTGTAAGTAACTCTCCTTTTCTCTTGCAACATTTAAGATTCTCTCCTTATCTTTCACCTTGGGTAATTTAATTATGGTGTGCCTTGGTGTGTTCCTCCTGGGGTCCATCTTCTTTGGGACTCTCTGAGCTTCCTGGACTTCCTGGAAGTCTGTTACCTTTGCCAGATTGCAGAAGTTCTCCATTATATTTTCAAATAAGTTTTCAATTTCTTGTTCTTCCTCTTGTCCTTCTGGCACCCCTATGATTTGGATGTTGGAGCATTTAAAGTAGTCCCCGAGGTTCCTAAGCCTCTTCTAATTTTTTTGAATTCTTGTCCCTTCATTCTGTTGTGGTTGAATGTTTATTTCTTACTTTAGCTCCAAATTTTTTATTTGAGTCTTGGTTTCCTTCCCTTCCCTGTTGGTTCCCTGTATGTTTTTCTTTATTTCACTTTGTATAGCATTTACTTTTTTCTCTATTTTGCAATCATATTCAACCATTTCTGTGAGCATCCTGATTACCAGTGTTTCGAACTCTTCATCTGAGAGGTTGGCTATCTCTTTATCACATAGTTCTATTTTTGGAGCTTTGATTTGTTCTTTCTTTTGGGCTATATTTCTTTGTCTTGATGCACCTGTTACGTGGTGAGGGGCAGAGACTTAGGTGTTCACCAGAGCGAGACAACCCAGTTGCTGCATTGCAGCGCTGTATGAAGGGGAGAGATCAGAAAGGGAACAATGCCACTTGTTTGGCTCCTGGACAGCTTTCTGTCACTTCCCCTGCTACCCACAAGCAAATTGGGCCCTTCTGGTGCTGATTCCCAATGGGCGGGTTTGTGTATGCTCTAGGACCCTGTGGGTCTCTCCAAAGGACTCTCCTGTGAGTTGGGGAGTTTTGCCTCCTCTATCCCCACAGGTTTTTACAGCCAGAGTTTTGAGGCTTTATTTCCCTGTGCTGGAACCCTGGGTTGTGCGGTCTGTCCCCCTCCCCAGTTGTTCCTCCCAGTTTATCTGCACCAAATGTTGGACCACCCAGTCTGCCAGCTGCTGCCTTGCCTGCCTGGTCCTCCTTCCATCATCTTGCCTTGAGTCCTTTCCGCCCCAGTTTCCCATCTCCGCCCCATTTTCCCATCTCCACCCCTCCTACTGGTCTGGATGAGTATTTCTTCTTTAACTCCTTGTTTGTCGGACTTCCATATAGTTAGATTTTCTAGCAGTTCTGGTGATTTTTTGTTTTTAAATTGGTTGTTATCCTTCTTTTGGTTGTGTGAGGAGGCATAGTGCACCTACCCACACCTCCATCTTGGTGGGAAGTCTGCAGTGCATTTTTAAATGAAGTCGTTTTCTAACAGTTTTTCCAAAAGTCAAAAACACAGCATAAGTCTTGATTTTGTTGATTATGTACCACACATGATGCCTGTGAAGCATTGTGTTGCTTATTAGCTAAACTACTTTAAAACTTATCTTGATTACACTTAGTAATTATTGGTTTCCATGTTGTTATTGGATTCCTAGCATTGGAAAATATGATTTTCACATATAAAGTTTTACACATATAATTTTTTGAAAGAGCATATTGAAAGATGTTTGGATTACATACCTATTTTAAGTTCTATTTCATTATTTGGGCCTCATTTTAAGTTTAAAAGTTAAAAATAAAATGCTTTTTCTTCTTAATACAAAAATATATATGATCGAAGTAAAAAGTGCCTGTAGTTTCATCTTCGAGATTGTAAATACTATTAAAAGTCTGAGAGTAATTCTTTTTCTTTATGCATAGTATAAGGGTAACTAATAGCTATGAAAAAAACATTTTTACTGAGAGTTTTAAATGGTATCACATCATCCCTGTTGTAACTTTTAACATTGTCAGTTTTTTTCCTTCAAGTGGCAGACTTGCTGTGTTCATTTTTGAGGAAATATCTGCCAGATGCTCAAGTTCAAATAACCATAGTTTTTCTCTCAAGTAAAAAGTGTATTCAGTGAAAACGTGGGCAGTGCTTCTGGCGGTGACTCAGTCACACGTACCGTTCCTCAGGGTAACTGCCATACTTCATATGCAGAAGTGCTTTATGTATACTTCCCATTTTGTCACACATAGTGTTAAAACGAGGTACTCGGATAAGTAGCCTCTGGGACAACTGCGAATTTACTGACGTTCACGTCATGGGCTGCTGCTAGTAGAAGAAAGAGAGCAAGAGATGAAAACCTATTTGAAAAAATAATGACAGAAGACTTTCCTAATTTGTTGAAGGAAATGTACATACAAGTCTAGGAAGTGCAGAATCCCAAACAAGGTGAACCCAAAGAGGCCTACACCCAGACACACAATTAAAATGCAAAAGGTTAAAGACAAAGAGAGCATCTTAAAAACAGCAAGAGAAAAGCAGTTAGTTACCTACAAGGGAGCTCCTGTAAGACTTTCAGCTGATTTCTCAAAAGAAACTTTGTAGGCTAAAAAGGACTGGCAAGAAATATTGAAAGTGATAAAAAAAGCAAGGACCTATATAACCAAGATTATTCTCCCCAGCATAGCTCTCATTTAGACTTGAAGGACAGATGAAGAGCTTCCCAGACAAGAAGAAGCTAAAGGAGTTCGTTGCCATCAAATCAATATTACATGAAATGTTAAAGGCTCTTAGGTAAAAAAAAGAGCAAAACTATGAAAAATAAAATGGCAATAAATACATATAGAGCAGTAATTGAATCTAAGAAACTAAATGAACAAGCAGAACAGAAACAGAATAATAGATACAGAGAACATTTTGATGGTTGCCAGATGGGAGTCCTCTCTGCCCAGATGGTAGGTAGAATGGGTGAAAAAGGTGAAGAGATTAAGAGGTACAAATTGCTTGTTACAGAATAGTCGCTGAGATGGCTGTAAAGTACAACATAGAGAATGGACGTGGACGACGGTGTGGAATTGCCTGAGGGAGTGGGGGGTCTGGATGGAGGGGGCAAAAGGGGAACAATTGGGACGACTGTAATATAAACAATAAAACATAATTTAAATTTTTTTAAATTAAAATAAGGTAGGTACTCAAGGGCTGAGATTTAGTAAAGTCATTTTTACTGCTTTATGAAGTGTATGTCATAAAACTGGCTTTTTCTAACTGCCATTTTATGGCTGTGACACTAGTTTGGTCACTCATTCCCTCTGTTCGTGCTATGGTGCCAGCACTCTTACCTGCCATGGCTCTTGCAGTATTAGGCGGAAATGTCAACATAGTGAAAAAGACAAAGAACATCTTAGTATTAGTGTGACGATAGTTGAACCTCACAGGATACCTGGAAGAGTCTCAGAGGCCTCTCCTGTTTTAACCCCAGGTCTGTACAGCATACTCGCCTACAGCTAGAACAGCAATTTGATCCGTACTTGGCTTTTTTTTTTTTAGATTTTATTTATGTATTTTTAGAGAGGGGAAGGGAGAAAGGAGAGAAACACCAATGTGTGGTTGTATCTTGCATGCCCTGTACTGGGAACTTGGCCTGCAAGCCAGGCATGTGCCCTGACTGGGAATTGAGCAGTGACCTTTGGTTTGCAGGCCCATGCTTATTAATCCACTGAGCTACACCAGCCAGGGCAGCACTTAACTTTTAAAAGTACAAGAAAATATGTTACATTTTTGAAGGAAAAATTATTTATTTAACCCATACTTGTTTGTAAAACGTTTTGAGGCAAGTAAAAATAGATTGTTCAAGCAAGGTAACAAATCTGAGAATTAGGAGAATTTATTATTTTCTTTCTCTTAAAACTTGCTGCACTAATTTTAATCATTTGGGGTGGTTTTTATAATAACTATTGTGTAATTGGTGAATACTGGATTGTACTGGATTTGTACAATACAAAACATGCAAGTTCAAAAAGGAGTAATACTGGGGAACCAGTTTAGGTTCATGTTTTTTTTTGCAAAGTATACGTGCATTGCTTATGTTCTGAAATGGTTAATAAGGATTCTCACTTTCAGGTGCCCGGGAATATCACGTCCAGTTTTTTAGCAACCAACCAGAGAGGGCATGGGTTCATGAAAAACGGGTGCGAGAGTACAAAGGTCATAAACAGTATGAGGAATTACTGGCTGAGGCAACCAAACAAGCCAGCAACCACTCTGAGAAACAAAAGGTAACGAACTGAAAGTATGTTAACATTCTTGATGGAATGTGGTTTCTAAAGGACTTCATAATTTAGTAAAACTTTTGTACTTGAATTCAGACCTTTGTGGGGTTTTTAAAAAAAATTTTTATTTACTTATTTTTAGAGAGAAGGGAAGGGAAGGAGAAAGAAAGGGTGAGAAACATCAGTTATGTGGTTGCCTCTTTTGCGCCCCACACTGGGGACCTGGCCCACAATCCAGGCATGTGCCCTGGCTGAGACTTGAACCAGCAACCTTTTGGTTCACAGGTCATCACTCAATCCACTGAGTCATACTACTGAGGGCTGAGTTCAGGCCATGTTTTAAAATGACTTAATTTTAACTCTGTTTATTCCTACTTTAATCATTTATTTTGTCAGTAAGCTTTATAAGTCATACAAACAATCTTACAGTACTATTAAAAACTTGAACTGTCTGCTCAATACAGTGCTGAATTCTATTTTGAACTGATTAATATGTAAAAGTCTAGTAGATGCCAGTGAAATGTGGATTTTTGCCAGCAATTTTTATTCTTTTTCCTATTTCAACATCTTTCTGTAATTTTCCTTTATTGTTATATAGCAAAAAATTTTATAAGTAAATTAAAAAAACATTTAGTGAATGGCTATTGTGAGAAAGGCACTGTTTTAAGCATATTATATATATATATAAAAATAAATTCCTTTAATCTTTATAACAACTTACATGAGGTAGATACTGTTATCCCTGTTTCTACTGATGAAGAAATCGAGGCCCAGAAAGCCTAAGTACCGGTTCAAGTCAGGTTACACAGGCGATGGAACCAAGCAGTATGTGTGAGGTAGTGGTAGATATTTAGAATTTTGACATGAACTCATGATACTCTGTCTGGTTGAGATTTTTAAACTCAACTAATTTTAGTGTGGGTCTCTTGTGATTCAGAAATGTGTCATGTTTTTACACTTTAAAAGCTAAATTGGAGCACAGAGGATTTTGATTAATTTTATCACACGTAACATTTTACAGATTTGTACCTCAGTGTTTGACACACATTGCACCGTCTCATACTTTCATTAGCTGATTTCTTGCCGCCTCAGTCTAAACCCTGGATAATTCCTAATTGCTTTGCTCATCTCACATAGCTCTGTTTAAAATTTTCTTATTTGCGTTACCAGTCCAGAGTCTTCTGATCAGCCCTGGACTATCTGTGGAAACCGATGCGGGTTACTTTCCGCTTTCATACGTGTCTGCTTTGCTCTTCTTGTCAGCTTCCATTCACTCCTCGGGTCTCCCTCCTTTCTCTTCTTTCTGCCCATTTGCATTACGGTGCAAACCAGCAGTGTGGCTTCAAATGCTAGCTCTTCAAATGCCGGGTAGCTTTGTTGTGATCTCTGTAGCACCTGGAGCTTTAGGGTACCATTCTTTTTTTCCCCTCTTTTAATCCTCACCCTGGGATATATTTATTGATTTGAGAGAGAGAAGAAGAGGGAAAAAACGGAAACATTTGATCAGTTGCCTCTAGTATGTCCCCCAACCAGGGATCGAACCTGCATCCTAGGTATGTGCCCTGAGGATTGAACCCGCCACCTTTTGGTGTATGGAACAAAGCTCCAACCAACTGAGCCACCCAGCCAGGGCTAGGGCTAACATCGTTAATGTCAGTGTTTCATTGGCCACTGACATTAATCATTTCTGTAATCTTTCTCTATGTCATCACTGCTAACTCTTTCATGAATATGATGGTAGATGTCCAGCAGAGTGGTCCACAAAGGAGGTGTATTAGAGAGAGTAACCTGTAAGCTCTCTGGTAGTGATACCAGTTTACCCAGGTAATGAATGGGGTTAGAACATTTCATTGATTTGACTAACGAACCTGAAGATATGTATGTGTATCTAGAAAGATGACAGGCTTGTGTGGGAAGTACCTTTTGGTCTAAATGTATTTGTTAGATTAAAATGTTCTGATAATGCCTACATCTCTTTTAAAAGATTCGGAAACCCCGGCCACAGAGAGAACGCGCTCAGTGGGATATTGGCATTGCCCATGCAGAGAAAGCGTTGAAAATGACCCGAGAGGAAAGAATAGAACAGTATACTTTTATCTATATTGATAAACAGCCTGAGGAGGCTTTGCCGCAAGCAAAAAAGAATGTTGCCTCCAAAGCTGAAGTTAAAAAAACCCGGAGACCAAGATCAGTGCTGAATACTCAGCCAGAACAGACCAATGCGAGTGAGGTGGCCTCCTCACTTTCAATTACTGAGGTTCGGAGACAGAGCCAGAGGCGGCACACGAGTGTGGAAGAGGAAGAACCACCTCCTGTTAAAATAGCCTGGAAAACAGCAGCAGCAAGGAAGTCTTTACCAGCTTCTATTACAATGCACAAAGGGAGCTTGGATTTACAGAAGTGTAACATGTCTCCAGTTGTGAAAATAGAACAAGTGTTTGCTCTTCAGAATGCTACAGGAGATGGGAAATTTATCGATCAATTTGTTTATTCAACGAAGGTACCTTTTTTTAAAATAGTTTTTGGAAGGCAATAATATTTAATAAGTAGTTAACCTCAGCATTTTAAAAATCACAACACAAGATCATAATTTAAATACCTTTTTAATCCACTGCATTTGAAATGTGCAGCCAGCTTACTCTGTTTAAGATGGGGCAAAAAAAAAACATAGGCAAAAAGGTTATGTTTTTCTCCTTTTTTCTCCCTCTTTTGTAATATCCCCATCTGTACTTGATTAATCTTGAGCTGTGCAGCCAAAATTGAGCCTATTGCCCTAAAGTTGTGGAAAAAAACTGGGCACTTTGCCTGCTTCTAGTTTGTATAGTTACTTTTTCTTAGTTGAAAACTGTGCTTCTTATTAAATCTTTTTTGTCAGTTATCTGAATTAACCATTGTAATAATTGTACCTACTGATCTCTTTGGTTGCACCAGCAGTTTTGTTAAGTTCATGTTGGCTTGGGATAGCTAATGTCTTTTAGAGAAATACCGGAACTATGTTAGTTCTTTAACAGTTAACTGCGGTGATAGCTTAGGTGTGGGGCGAAAAGAGCTGCTTCTGATGTCTCCATCAGTCAGCCCTGAACCTCTTTTTAAGGGCGCTTAAAACTACTTTAGTCTGAAGATTTTAAAACTCTTTCATAAGACTTGTAATGCTTACTCCACAGACCTCTTCACTGTGCCCCACTGATACTGCAATTGTGGGCCTATGCATTCAGTTTAGTGGCACTGTATGGATGTGTACTTTTAAAGAATTCTGTATTTGCTAACATTGTCATGGACACATTGAAATAATTAAATATAGGCATGCTTTATTAGTGATAAATTTTCCTAGAGAGAGGTGTAAGGGTCCTCTGTTAACCTGTTTCTGCCTATTGGTTCAGCTGATTTCATTTAGGCTAAGCTACTTGGAAAAACTGAAGTTCCAGTTCTCATTTGGTTCGGCTGATAGCTTTGAATGGCAAATGAGTACTCTGCATCCTTTTTGAGGGTAGATTGGCTCTACTCTTGGAGTTAGCTTATATCTGCTTTTACATGCACAAATCAAACTTTTCAACCCTATCCAAAGAGTGCTATGTATATGAAATTGGAGCTAAAAGTGACCTTTTATAAATGAAGGCTTAAAAAATACATAAACATTTATAAATCACTCCTTTATTCATTGTGTTAAAAATACTTAACGTCTGTTCCAAATAGCTCATTGGGTGCATGTTTGGGTCACTGTGGATGGCATATTTCTGTATCTATGGATATTCTTGTCTTTCAAGGTGTGTGCAAATTTTTATCTGTGTAGTAGGTACTTAAGCAAATGAAAGTGACTAGACTTCTCTTACTGTGACGTAAGGGGAGACTATTCAGACCAGAAAATAGTTTGTTTTTGACAGAAAATTGTTATATATGTGCATTTTTTAGTGATATGCATCATCCGGACTTACACAAATAGATTTTTTTCATATAATCTCATTGTACATTTTGGAATACATGCTGATGACTTAATAAAATTGTTCTGGTATTGGCTAAAATAATTAGCTGCAATCAAGGCCATATAAAATTAATCTTAAATTATCTTTACAAACCAATAATATCTATTTTTTATTTGCCTTATTTTGAAGGGAATCGGTAACAAAACGGAAATAAGTGTCAGGGGACAAGACAGACTTATAATTTCTACACCAAACCAGAGAAATGAAAAGGCAACTCAGAATGTGTCGTCTCCTGAAGCAACACCTGGTTCTGCAGGTCAGTATAAATGAAGAGTGTACTGATCCATTTTGAGGTCATAGAACTGCTCTGCTATAATGTGGTAGCTATGTTTCTGAGAAGCTTTTAGTTATCAAAATGTATTTATGTTTTTAAAATGAAACTATTAAAGCAGTTATTTCAATAAAAAAGAATTGTTTAGGGGCTAGAGAGCTTATAGTACCCTTTATTTTTCCTACAGGAATTTAAATAATAGAGGGCTTCATAATTAAAAGTATAGTTTAAAATCTACACCTGTCTGAGTAAATGCACCATTTGATTATCTCTCTTTGCATGATAATAACAGCTTTACTTTTCCAGGACTGATAACACATCCTTACTATTTCTTCCTTTATCTCCTCTTGGAAACAAATTGGCAGATGCCCATGTTCTTTTTATTTTTCTTAGATGTTGCAGATGTTAGTAGCTGAGTGCCTAAGGCCTAACTCTTCTATAATACTGTGTTCTCTGATGAGCACATACCATGAATTGAAAATCAAGCTATATGATTTTTGTTTATGAGGAAAAGTCTATATTCAATAAGATTGTGCTTTTGTTGGAGTAGTCAAAGTAGTTTTTATTAAGAGATTGACTTACTGAGGATTGAATAGTTGAATTCAGTGTCTGGCGGCTTTGCCTTCTATGACAGTACCACTGCTTCATACAGCCTGAGCTGAAAGAGCTGTATGAAAGAAGGAAAGAGCCTGAGCCGGGTCCTCTGTCCTGAGGGTTTTTACCCACTCTGAAGGTGGGGATCTTGGGGGAGGCCCCAGAGGAGGATCTCAATAGAATAATATCCTTCAGGTTTCTTGGTGTGTTCTTTCAGAGTTGTGGTCTCTATTGATAGTCTGTACCAGGACAGGGGGCCATTAGCCATTGTATCTGGTCCTGATGCAGCCACAGCATCCCCATCTCTCTGGTTTTGCTGCTTTTCTGGGCCTGGAGCTCAGACACAACTGGGGCCATATCTCTAGTTTGACTAAAACTCTGACTCTGGTCAGCAGACTCAGAGCTCTGCCTCCAAGATCCTTTGATGCGGGCCAGAACCTCACTGTCCCAAAGGCTTAACGATCAAGGGAGTGGTCGTGCCAGGGCTTGCATAGGAGTCTTAATGAGGTCATTCTCCAGCCCCCTTGTTACTTTTCTTAGGAAGTCTACCTCATGACTTGCACATGTTAGGGGAGGAAATGAAAGGTCAGTGGAGGATCTGAACTGTGTAAGCAGCAATATGAAAGGTCAGGGGGTCTAAACCACATGACCAGTGATATGCTAGAGGAAGAAAGGTTACCATGGGGGTCAGGACCCACCTGTAGAAATTTTTCCCCCCAGTTTTGCTTGTTGCTAAGCACCCAGGACTTTCCAGACCTGGCCTATCATCCTTGCTCTTATCATGCCTAACTGCCTCCTACATATCATTTCAAAATCCTGTACTAAAAAAATGAAATTGTGATGTTGAGGGAATGGATACATGAACTTAGATTTTGCATTAATTAAAAATGTTTGTTTATTTCTTTGAATATTAAAGAATCTTTTTTGGAGAAAAAAAGGAAAGAATCTTTTGGCCTAAGCTCTCCATAATCAGTTTTGTTATCTTTCTTTACACTAAACTGTTGGTAATTTATCTGAATTTAAATGTGATACCTAGATTAGAAGGGTCTTTATTTATTTATTTTCTTTTTTCAATGTTATTGATTATGCCATTATATTTATTCTATTTCCCTCTTCATTCCCCTCCACCCTGCACACCCCTCCCCCACCATTCCCCCCTTTAGTTTATGACCACGTGTCTCAAGTTCTTTAGATTCTGTGTTTCCCCTACTATTCTTACCCTCCCCCCTATCTATTTTCTATCTACCATCTATGCTACTTATTTTCTGTACCTTCTCCCCACTTCTCCCACTCCCCTGTTGCTAACCCTTCATGTGATCTTCATTTCTGTGGTTCTGCTCCTGATCTAGCTATCCTCTTAGTTTGCTTTTGTTTTAGGTGTGGTTGTTACTAACTGTGAGTTTGCTGTCCTTTCACTGTTCATCTTTTTTATCTTCTTTTTTGTAGGTAAGTCCCTTTAACATTTCATATAGTAAGGGCTTGGTGATGATGAACTTCTTGAATTTGATCTTTTCTGAGAAGCACTTTATCTGCCCTTCCATTCTAAATGAAAGCTTTGCTGGATAGAGCAATCTTGGATGTAGGTCTTTGGATTTCATGACTTGGAATATTTCTTTGCAGCCCCTTCTTGCCTGTAAGGTCTCTTTTGAGAAATCCACTGACAGTCTGATGGGAACTCCTTTGTAGGTGACTGTGCCCTTATCTCTTGCTGCTTCATTTTAATCTTGGCTAATGGAATGATGATGTGCCTTGGTGTGTTCCTTCTTGGGTCCAGCTTCTTTGGGACTCTCTGAGCTTCCTGGATTTCCCAGAAGTCTATTTTCTCTGCCAGGATGGGGAAGTTCTCTTTTATTATTTGTTCAAATAAGGTTTCCACTCGTAACTGTTCCTCTTCCCCTTCTGGTACTCATAATTCGGATGTTGGAGCATTTAAAAATGTCCTGGAGGTTCCTAAGCCTGTCCTCATTTTTCAAATTCTTGTTTCTTCATATTTTTTGTGTTTGTTCATTTTTTTCTTCTTTCTGGTCCACTCCCTTGATTTGAGTCCCAGTTTCCTTTCCATCACTATTGCTTTCCTGTGCATTTCCCTTCATTTTAATTAGTTTAGCCTTCATATGTTCCTCTAATTTGTGGCTAAAATCAATCAGTTCTGTGAGCATCCTGATCACTAGTGTTAGTGTTTTGAACTGTGCCTCTGATAGGTTGGCAGTTTCTTGTTTGCTTAGATTTATGGGCTCTGGGGCTCTGAGTTCTTCTTCAGCCATGTTTTGGTCTGTTCGAGCTTGTTACACGTATGAGGCGAGGAGCCTTAGATGTTCACCAGGGCGGGGCTGCCCAGGTTGCTGGGTTGTGATGCTGTATGTGGGGGCGGGGTCAGAGAGGGACAGTGGTGGTCCTCTCTGCTCCTTCCCGCCGCTAGGGCCTGCCCAGTCTGTCTCACTGCTTGCTCCTTCACTGGTTTATCTGCGTACAAATGTTTGACCGCGGTCAGCCCGCTGCCTTGTGCCTTCACTGGGTCCACCCATCACTACCCCACACCTGGGATTCGCCCTTGGCTGCCTGGGTCAGGGGATCTTTTCTGCCTGACCAGCTCTGCTGCTGGCTCTGCCCCTCTTACCAGTCTAGCTGAGTGGTTTGTTGTTGTCGGACTCCGTATTGTTCAGTTATCTGTGGTTTGGCTGCGTTTATTGTTGCTAAAACTTTGTTGTTTTTGGACTTGGTTGTGCGAGAAGGCAAAGTGTTTCCACCTATGCCTCCATCTTGGTGGAAGTCCCTGTATATATATCAGGAGGGTCTTTATTTAAATATCTGTGTTGTCCTAACTAGGGAGAATATTAAATATACTTTTTAAAAGATTTTATTTTTATTTATTTTTAGAGAGAGGGGAAGGGAGTAAGGAAGAGAGGGAAAGAAACATTGATGTGTGGTTGCCTCTCGCACACTCCCCACTGGGAACCTGGCTCACAAGCCAGGCATGTGCCCTGACTGGGAATCGAACTTGCAACCCCTTGGTTTGCAGGCCGACACTCAATCCACTGAGCTATCCCCGCCAGGGTATACTTTTATTTTTAATGGAGCTGGGGTTTTTTTTTCCTTCTCAGCTACTGAACATTTTATTTTCATGTAGTCTTTTTGTTGTAAGTTTTAAGTTCTGCTATGGACTTTTTACTTTTTTTTAAGTGACAGATAAAGTGGAATATTACAGTTCTTTGTATCTGGAAAAAGCCCAGTTCCTTCCTTAGGCAAGCACGTATCATTAGATTGTAAATTAAGGTGGGGACCTTAATATAGGGATGTGTTCTAAAGCTTTGACCTTGGTTTAAATTTGGTTACCAGCTATGGTTGATTATCCTATTTTGCTGTGTTAAATGACCATTTTGTTTCTTGTGAAAATAACTTCAGTACAGGCATACCTCGTTTTATTGCGTTTCACTTTATTGTGCTTCAAAAATGTGTGTTTTTCAAATTGAAGGCAAGACCCTCCACCAGCAAAAAGATTACAGCTCACTTTATTGTGGTGCTCTGGAACTGAACCCGCAGTACCTCCAAGGTATGCCTGTAGTTGAACGTCAGAAAAGAGATTTGATCTTTCTTCAGAAATGAATTACATCATCATCTCACCTGGTGGTGGAAACTACCTAGGGCGGATTCTTGAGCCTTTTCCTAGTAAGTGTAGGGGACACAGTGTGTGGTGCTGCCACATTTCTGTGGTTTGCAGAATTGCATTCGCATTTATACTAGATTTCTAAGTACTTTTCCAAATCCACAGCTGCTTACCTCTTCTCTCTTAGAAGGTAGGCATAATACTTTTTGGTGGTTATGTGTGTTCTGTGGGCAGCTTTCAGAATAATTTTAAGAAGTCATGTTGCCTGATCTTCTCTAGGACAGTATGTACATCAGATACCTGTGCTTGATGAAGCGGTTATGTTTTGATTCTTAAAACGAGTAAAGAGTTTTTGTTTTAAGCATTTCTGTTTTCATTTTCTTCTTCCCTGGTAGGTACTTGAATATTGATGATTGTACTAAAGTATGGATTTGTGGGATACACAGGTGTCTGCGAGGGTAGAATATCTGTTGTTTTGGTAAACATTCTCCTCAGTGTGAGGAGAAGAGTGAGAATAAAGAAAGGAGCTAGCACCTCCATTTGTGATTTCTCTGCTGGAAACAGTATATTATTATCAAAGTACCTACTCCCTCAGAATAAAAATAGCAGAATCCTTCTTTGTTTTGACCTTGAGCTAAGTTGAGGAAATCTATTTACAGGAACAGTGACACCAAATAATAAATACACAGGTGATCTGAAGGCTTTACTAAAGTAGCTTCGGCCTGATTTTATAGGGGGTCTTAGCAGCTTTCTCCTGTGGTAAGTGAAAGATGATTATTATCTAGGAAGGACCATTTAGGTGGTCCCAGCACTGAAAGGACAGAGTACGGCTGCACTGAAGGTGTCATTCCTTCTCAGGGTCACAGAAGGAAATCATTCCTGACTTAGTGTTCTTTCAAGTTGTGGTCTTCAGTCTATTTTATCCTTTCCAAAATGTGAGTTTTCTTCTGTTAACTTTCAAAGAATTTCACTTTTTAAAAATCTTAATAGTTTCTTGCTTTATTTATTGTGAAAGCACTTGATAATTTGTTTCAACTAGTTTTTCAAACCTAATTCTTTTTTTAAAATTGACTTTAAGAGAGAAAGAGAGATTTGTTCCACTCAGTTTTGCACTCACTGGTTGAGTCTTGTGTGTGCCCTGATTGGAGATCAAACTGGCAACCTTGGCATATTGGGATGATGCTCCAACCAACTGAGCCACCTGGCCAGGGCGTGACCAGTTATTTCTGAGTTTTAACAAGTCCCTCAGTAGACACATTAGTGATTTCATTTGGGTCAGCCTTTTTGTGCATTTCTAAAACTTGTCTAAGTGCACCAAGCACTCATTTTACATACAGAATTACCATATTTTGCCATGTATAATACTCACATTTTGGCCCAAATTTTTTAGTGGAATATAAGGGTGTGTGTTATACGGAGGTAGTAGTACCTGAAATACCTTGTATCTGTTCTTGTGGGGGTTTTTACCTAAAATTTCCTGTACCATAATATATTAAAAAATAAATGCTAAAATTCCTTTATAATACAAAAATGAGTATTTAAATATAAATAAATAAATTGAATTTAAAAATTAAAAATGAAAGTTTGGGCCAAAAATTTGGGTATACATTTTATATGGCAGAGTGTGGTAATTTATTCATTTGTTATGATGCAAAATACTGCAGTACTGATTGAATTTTGAGCCAGTAACTCCTAATGTCATCTGAGAATAAAGTCATTTTCATCCATCCCCTCAATACCTTCATTCCTTCAATTATAGTTACATAAATGTTTATCTGCTTTCAAGAAGACTAAACTATGTCTCTGCAACTTTATAATTTTAAAAAGTCCATCCCTCTTCATTTGTATAATTTAGGTCTTTTATTAATCCCAATCTCAGGCTATCAGCCTCCACTGTTTGATTTTATAAAAATTTTTGTGTGCTCCCAAGCATTTAATAGCTTTTTTGTAATTTATAATTAAAAGACAAAAAATAATGGATCAGAAAAACAGGGAATTTGGTCCACGCTTAACTGCATAACTGTCAAGCCATCCTCAAATGAGTTTTAATTTACTTGTTGGTTTAAATCATCTCTTAGGCTCAGTAGAAAAGAAGCAGCAGAGAAGATCAATTAGAACTCGTTCTGAATCAGAGAAATCCACTGAAGTTGTGCCAAAGAAGAAGATCAAAAAGGAGCAGGTTGGCTTCCTACATGTAGAGAGTTAAAACATTGTGTTTGTAAATGTTGTGGCGTATACTGGTGTCTGAAAAGAAAGAAAAACTTTCCCCGTGTCGAGTTTCCTTTCTGGACCCCCCTGTGCTTCTGTCCCGGTGAAGGTTCTGCCTCACCCACGGTCCCGGAAACAGTTGGGCTTCAGGAGGCAGGAAACCAGTGGTGCAAGTCTCTTAAAGGGATCCTCACACTTATTTTGAAATTTCCGTTATGAGCAAAATGATCTCATGTTTTCATGATTTTTATTGGGACCCATCAGTGAGTTCCCTTTAAAAAAAACTTTTTTGATTTTTTTTATTTAAGTTGCTAGTATGTATTGTTTTTATTTTCTTAAACAAAATCAAATTAACTACAAGAATTATATTTAAGAAGCAGGTTGTCATTGATGATCTGGGTTTTCTGTTGGTACCACAGATTTTTTGGAACGTTATTTTCCCAGTGGGCTGTCAGATAAACTCAAGGGGGGAACAGAAGGAGGGGTGTTTTGACGGAAAGATTTTAAATCAGTGTAATCAGTGTGGTGATATTCATATTAAATTACCTTTTGGAAACCATACTCCCTTTAATTAAAATCACAGTGAGAATTTTTTTTAAACCAAGAGAATACCCATTTTACAGCCCAGCCAGCCACTATTAATCAAAAGGAATCCTGAACGTTATTAGTTCCAATAAGCTTTATAGTTTTAAAAACCACTTAATATAGAAGAGTGTGAACTTTTCTATTTATTTCCTTCAAATTTTAAACTTCTATTTATTTCCTTCAAATTTTTAAACTTCCAGACTTTGTGGGTGCTCTATGGTATCATCAAGCTGTATGTAAAACAGTTTTCCCAGAAATATTTAACTAAAATTTCAGTAATATACTAATCGGTCATTCATTTATCATAATTAAGTTGAATACTTTGGAAATTATATTCCAAAAAGTCTTTCTAAGCTCTTGCAAACTTACAGTATTCATTACTGAAATGAAGTTGTGGTTTTGCCAGCTGGTTCCCAAATTCAGTCTGTGACCAGTTTAAAATTAATAAGCAGAATGAGTATAAAATGGGACTGTTAATGCCACTATGTTATAGTTAGTAGTAGAACAATACCAGTGATTGTGTACAAGATTTTATATTTGTATTACTAACTGTATCTTATAAAAGTGCTTCTGTTGTATGTTTTTTTAACCTGCTGTAAAAAAATAAAAAAATTTTTAAAGCTTAGAACAATCCTTAAGTATTTACAAAATGTGTTTCAACATGCATATTTCACCACATCTTAAAGAAACATAAAATTCAATTCATAGCTTAAACAGGAACTCCTCCGAACAGCATCCCTTCTTCAATTCCAATGGTTCCGTCTTTAAATTACCACGTGTTTTACATATACATTGGCAGAATAACTTCTGATCTCACTCTCCTAATGTAGGATCAAGACACTGTTCATAAGACACTCAAGAAAGTGCTTTTGCAATATCACAAACTTACTAAGTTTGTATTAGCAGCAAAAGTATTGAGCTTCCAGCTGTATGGAGCCCTGTGGCACTCTCTACAGAGAGGGTCCTGATTCCCAGCAACTTAGCTGTGAGTGCAGGCGCGGAAGGGTCTTAAAGTGGCGTGAGTTACATTAACCTGAGTATCATAGTAAGTAAAAATTTATCCTAACGTCTTTGGGGCGGGAGGGGTTTATAACAGCATCGGGCTGGTTGCAGAAACAACCCCTCTCCGGCCTCCCAGACACTGAGGAAAGTGTTCTCGTTCTCTTCTTCTGCCAAGGGAATGGGGGAAAGGTCTTTGCTGGAGAGCATTTGGCTGTGTGTTGTCACTGGATTCAGCACAAGCAGCTAAGATTTCAACGCTCCCTGACCTTGAGACAGAGAACTTTACCTGCCAGATGGGACTGAGTTCAGATTTCAGATACATTAATCACTCATCATTACTTAGATTGATGGAAATATTATTTTTTCCTTAATTAAAAGTGAAAAAATTTTCTTGCTAATGCTGTATTTCTCTGTCCAAACAGGTTGAAGCAGTTCCTCAGGCTACAGTGAAGACTGGATTACAGAAAGGTGAGTTGTTACAATGTTGCTTTGCATTTCCTTGATTAAAACCAATTTTAAAGAATTATTTGTACTTCATGTTTTTTTGTTTGTCTCTGTAAATCATTGTTGTTGCTCTTTAGTCAATGATTTGTGTGAAACTGAAGTACTCCCTGGTGTGTGTGTGTGTGTGTGTGTGTGTGTGTGTGTACACGTGTGTGACTCTCAGAGTTGATAATATTCTGTACCTCCGTGTGAAAAGTCTTCCTCATTTTATGTAAATTGGAGAGCACCACGTAGACTTGATACTGTTTCCAACTTTTCTCCATATGGTTCTGGGGTTTCACTGGTTTATAAACTAGGGATGTGACGAATCCACTTTTTTTGGTATTCGACTGAATACCGAATAGTAGCTACTAAATGTTTGTCAAACATGGACTATGACAAATCAGACAAGACAACTTGATTGAAAAAAAAATCTTGCCACGCTTATTTTTACAGTGCTGTAAAATCCTTTCGTAAATTAAAATGATTCCTAGCATATTTATGGCCATTATTAGATGACCTTATGCAAATCTATTTGAGATATGCACAAAGTTTAAGAAATCTTAAACTTATATCTGTATTTTCTGTGTGCAATTTGACTACAGTACAAACTCCATAGCATGATTCGTGCGTTTTTGGTGAGATCATTCAGACTGTATTTATACCTGTAGTTTACTTTGGGCAAATTGCATTATTAAAAAAATAAAATAAAAAAACCACCAGCCTCTCTGCATTCTCGGGGAGAAGTCTGCAGCGATGGTCTCCGTGGAGATCCTCAGCAGAACTGAACAGCCTCTCGGAGGGAACACTGCTTGGCGGAGCTCCAAGAAAAGACATCGCGATCGCTGCGAGATTAGGAGGCCTGATTGCGTTGTGTTTCCACCATTCCACAGGGTCGGCGGACCGGGGAGTGCAGGGCTCTGTCAGATTCAGTGACAGCTCCGTCTCCGCAGCGATTGAGGAAACTGTGGACTGAGATTCCTGTACAATTTCATCCCAGAAACTCCAGACTTGTAGTCTCCATGCAAGATTTCTTTGTCGGCGGCTCGATAAACAGTTTCTTTGTTCCCAATTTTGATTTTGCCAATCACCATTATTGGCATTTTCCTGCCTGTTTTCTTCTTCAAGACTGAACAATTGCTTTAACATTCAAATGATTTTTTTTTTTTTTTTGGTCTGAGCTGGATAGGTACAGCTTAAATCATGGGCCCAGCCTAAAAACCACAGTTTAACTTACACTGATCAATTTCAACATGGACCGTTTTTGTTTCTTGTTTTTAAATAAAGCATCATCACTAATGTACATCGGCAGGGTTTTGCCAAACAACCCAAACTGTATACGTTACAATCATTAAAAGCTCTTATTGTTATTATTTTTTTGTTAGTGCCGTTACCATGGAGAACAGCATGGCAGCTATCTTGGGCAGTCTGTTGTTTTTCTAGCATTTTCAGAAACTCATCGGAAATGGCGGTACCTGTGTTTCCCTTCGAAAGCCTCTCAGTACAGCACTCCTGTTCCTCTGTTAAAACTCCTTGTTAATCCAGTGATCTTTTAGGCCAAGGAAATACTTTGTGGTGGTGTGCTGGGTTCATACACCAGCAATGGAGGAGATAGATTTGTGTACTTGTGTTTTTATCAGCGTTGACATGGGCAGGCACCCTCATTTATAGATGTCAGGAAACATTCAGTGCAAAACTTGTAGACTGGGATGTGCTAACGAGGTTCCAGTGATCTGAGCAGTCTAAAGAGACCCACATGCTCCACCACAGAACATGGCTATATACCAAGTGCTGCTCTCACTCGGCCTGTTGCGGATCTTCATGGAGACTTGTTTCTCCGTGGTCTCTTCTGGACTGTACACTTCCACCATAGCTTGCTGGGCTGGTCTAGATGTCTGTCTGTTGTATGGAAATTTGGGGGGAAAAATCCAAAACACAAACAGTGGGTTGAAATATTAACCGTCTCCTTGGTTCCTTGGTATTCACCGTGCCTGATCTGCACATCTCACCGTGGCTGTTCTGTATGGCCTATACTGCATTAGCCCAAGAGGTTGTTGCTTTGTAACTTTTTGCACTATTGTTTTGGCTGGATTTGTATTACACACAGTTTTAAAAAAAATTCCACACTATTCTCTGCCTTTTTTTTTTTTTTTCATATTTATTTCTTCCCGCACAAATTCCACATAGAGGCCTCTCACCCAGCTCTTCGTGATTGGGCTGCACCTGAACATTGATTGTCTGTTTACAGCCCTCAGCAGTGTGCCTCCTAGGTGGCATGACACGTGTACATGTGCCGCAGCACTTGTTAGTGGTCACAATAAACAACACTTCACCAAGGAAGTCTCAGATGAACAATCGTGAACATCCAAAATTTACTGGGGGGGCAGTGCTCAACTAAATTGCAAAATTCGGGGGAAAATGGCACTATCCGTGTACGAATCGAATACAAAGCAAAGATTTGTCACATCCCTAATCAAAACAAGATGGCGGTGTCTCTGCGACCATATTTGTAAGCTGCACAGTGTGTTGGGTTTTATGTCTTCCCCCTCCAAATTGAATGGTTCTTTGGATTGCTCCAAACAAGTCAGCTATCCTGCAGTTTTGATAGAATTGGTTTTTAGGTTGGAACTTGGGCTCTGTTGACTGAAAAGAGCTGTAGAGCAGAAGCACTGAATTAAATGTTGTAATGGAGCGGTTGTAAATTAAATCACCATCCAAAAAGTCAGAAGCTCATGAAGTTTTGACTTGTGACTTCAGTGTTACAGTGAAAGCTGTGCTTTTTCACACTACAGATGAGTTTGGGGAAAGGAAATATTTCCCCACAAAAAAAAAATTAAGAAAACAAACTTTAAGTGCTATTTTAGGATTAATTTCGGTGTATTGTATTAAGGTGCCAGCGAGATTTCAGATTCCTGTAAACCTCTAAAGAAAAGGAGTCGCGCCTCCACTGATGTAGAAATGACTAGTTCAGCATACAGAGACACATCTGACTCCGATTCTAGAGGCCTGAGTGACGTGCAGGTAAATATGTCCAAGGGTCTGAGCACAGCGCGCTCTTTTTGCTTTGCAAGACCAATTAATATACATTATCGCTTTACCCAACTTATTTGGGGAACATGGGGGATTTTTAAATATTCGTAGTAAAGAAACCGTCTTGGTTATTTTGTAATGATGCGTTTCTTAATTTTGCTGATCTCTTACATAACAGAAGTATAGTTTGTTTGGTTTTTGTTTTTTAATTTTAACTCGGGTTTCTCTCAAAACACCAGACATGGTATCCAGATATTTTAGGAAAGAAGGCAGGAAGGAAGGAAGAAGAGGTAGTATCAAGATTAATTTGAGCAACCCTTACTAGGATTTTCATAGCACCTAACTTTGAGGAAAGGGTTTTTTAAGTCTTTTTTTTTATTGTTTTTATTTATCGAGTTAGAAACATCGATTTGTTGTTCCACTTATTTATGCATTCATTAGTTCATTCTTGTATGTGCCCTGACCGGAGCTTGAACCGCCACCTTGTGTATCAGCATGATGCTCTAACCAGCTGAGCTCTACCTGGCAAGGGCACATCTTAGGGGAAATTTTTGTTTTTTCTTAAAAATGTGCTATGTTTTTCATGTAGGTAGGCTTTGGGAAGCAAGTAGATAGCCCTTCAGCTGCTGCAGATGTGGATGCTTCTGATGTGCAGTCCATGGACTCAAGTTTGTCAAGAAGAGGCGTCGGGACGAGTAAGAAGGACACTGTGTGTCAGGTGGGCAAGTGACACGTCCTGTAGCTTGAGATCATTGCTGTCATATTCTGCCAACAATATTACTTACCTCCCCCTGGAGAGGGCGGTATCTTTCTAAATTATGATACTCCTATAAAGCTACAGATCTAAAAGCCATTTCGGGCTCTTTTCCCCTTCTGAGTTTGGAGCCCTCACCACTCATGCAGGTGTCAGTCTTCATTGTCATGAAATGGAAGTCAGTGGCAGGTGACTGCTTCAAAAACATTTTCTTATAATTGGTATGGATATTTTAACGTATATTTTCCCTTTCTGAAACATACTGCTTTGCCGTGTGAAGAAAAGTTGAAGTGCCTAGATTCCAAAGAAGGAATCATACAAAATTAAGTATGACTTTTAGACTTTGTACCGTCTTGATGTGGAAATAGTTACCTAGTTCAGTGGTTCTCGCAGCGAGGGCCCAGGACCAGTAGCATCAGTGTTGTCCCCGTACTTGTTGTAAATGCAAATTCTTGTCCTCGTCCCTCCCCGCCTCCACTGTGTCAGAAACCGTAGGAGGCAGACCCTCCAGGCGATGCTGACGCCTGCCAGCATCTGAGATGCACCCGCTGTTTGCTGTATTGCAGATCTGCGAGAGCCCTGCTGACTGCCTGGTTCCCTGCGAGGGAGAGTGCTACACATACTTCCACCTGGAGTGCCTGGGGTCGCCATCGCTCCCTGACGGGAAGTTCGTCTGCCCAGAATGTAGAACCGGTAAGCTGACGGACTTCGGTGGGTTTGAAGAGATGGGTGGGGGGCGTGCACAATGCCAGCATCCCTCATGACATCTCATTTTCTCACCACTGTTATGTAGCGCTTTTCTCCCAAAGGTATTTCAACAAATTAAGACCATTTAGTGTTTAAGCTTCTTAAAATCAAAGAATAGTTAGCAATATTGTCAAATTTTCCTCTACCAGTGCCTTAATGATAAACTCTATCAAGTCATCAAGATGTATTTGTATTTGATCTGAGCTATACAAAGTATTTAGAATGAATTATTTTTCAAATGAGTTTGAGATTCTTACGCTTGATAACATTGGTTTAAAGTGCCTTGACTTTAATAGACTGGCATAAGTATTAATTGCAACTGTAACTATGGTGATAGTATTTTTAGTGGAAAGATAGAGTTATGGGAAATGGTTTTTAAAACATGCAAGTTTTGGATTCTCCATTTATTTCTAATTCTCCCCCCCACCAAATACAGACTATTACCTATCAAATGATTTATAGAGAGAGAAATATGCAAGTTCATACTTCTTATCTGTGTAGCTGAGATTCTAGTTAAAGTCACAGAAAGCAGGAAGTAGAGTTGTGTACTCTGTAACAAGGCGAGTGAAGAGCCAACTCGTGTGGCCTGGGGGTGTTTCCAGGAAGCACTTTCGTATGGTTTTTTGGTTTTATTTTTTTCGCAGGGGGAACTGGATATCGGGTATTTATGATATGCTGATCTTACCCATGGCACTTTATTTTCCTGCTGTTTTTTATTTGGATTCTCATAGATATTTTATCCTTGTTATTTGATTGCATACCTCTTAAAATCATTTACATATGCTAAATTCCATTAGAATGGTCGTTTTTTTTTCTGAACACTTAATACAGGCCAGGTGCTGTTAGTACTAAGCATTTTATCTTACTGCCTCATTTTATCCTCATAACATAAATGAGGTCATGCTATTACTATTCTCACTTCTCTGAGGGTGAAACTGCGGTTGGAGAGTGTAGTTTAGCGCCTTGCCCAAAGTCACAAAACCAGCCTGTGATGAAACTGGCATTTTAGCCAAGGAGGCAGGTTGCCCCGAGAAGCCCTGCTGTTTCCCATCACCTTCCACCACCTTGACTAAGCAGAATGGAGATCATGTATCATATATTCTTAAACATACATACTCTGAATCCTCACAGACATACATGCGCAAAAATGAAGCTGTAAAAACTTTTAAACATATAACATTTTCCCTATGTAAAATAATATTTTCTTCATCACACTTAGACTCTGCAATAGAACTTTTGAACAGTTTGCCAATGGCAGCAGCCTCGGGGCAGATTATCTGCACATTGTTTTACTCGGCCCTCTGGGCGGGTTTGGACCGTGTGAACACGGGTCAGGCACGTGTCCTGGTTCCTCACACCCCCTGCTGTCCCTTCGTCCTGAAGCCCTGTCATTCCAGCCGTTCACGTAACCCATCCAGCCCTGTGAAGCACTTACGTTTACAGTCTCCAAGTCAGACCACCGTTAGGAAGGACTGTGTAGCTCACTGTTAACACATTCTTTTGAGGGATCTGTCCTAACTCTAGAATTCAGCTAAATTCTAAATTATATCAACAAAGGTTAGATATAATTTAATTTGATATACATCTATTAAGAGCTTCAAGAGGGAAATTTGCTTTAAAATCAATCACATAGAACAAAGAGGATTTATACTTCCCTATTTCAAAATTTACCTACAAAACTACAATAATTAAAACTGTGATGCTGGCATAAAGACAGACGTATAACCCATTAGAATAGAATAGGGAGTCCAGAAATATACCTTCATATATATAGTTGAATGATTTCTTGACAAGGGTACAAAGACCATTCAGGAGGGAAAGGACAGACTTTTTGGCAAATGTGGGAAAACTGGATATCTCCATGCCAAAGAAAGAGATTGGACCCTTAACTAAAACCATATGCAAAATATAATTCAAAATGGACCAGAAATCAAACATAAGAGCTAAACTGTAAAACTCTTAGAAGAAAACATAAGGGAAAAGTTTTGTGACATTGGATTAGGCAGTGATTTCCTGCTATGACATCAAAAGTATAGGCAACAAAAGAAAAAAAATAAAGAAATCGGACTTTATCAAAATTAAAAACCATGTACACCAAATGACTGTCAACTGAGTGAAAAAGCAACCGGCAAAATGGGAGAAAAAAGCCCTGTCTGGTGTGACTCAGCAGACTGAGTGCCAGCCTGCGAACCAGAGTCCATGGTTTGATTCCCAGTCAGGGCACGTGCCTGGGTTGCAGGCCAGGTCCCCAGTAGGGGGTGCACAAGAGGCAACCACATGTTGATGTTTCTCTCCCCCTTTCTCCCATCCTTCCCCTCTCTCTAAAAGTAAGTCTTTTAAAAATGGGAGAAAATATTTGCAAATAACATATCTGAGAAGGAATTAATATCCTAAATATATAAAGAACTCCTACAACTCAACAAAAAACACATAACCCAATTGGAAATTAGGGAAAGAACTTGAATAGACATTTCTCCAAAGATCTACAAAGGCCCAGCAAGCACCTGAAAAGATGTTCAGCATCATTCACTACTAATCAGACAAATGGAAACCAAAACTACAGTGAGAAGCCTCTTCACACCTATTCGAATGGCTATTATCACGAAAACAAGTTACGGAGAAAATGAAACAGTTGTTCACTGTTGGTGGGGATGTGAAATGGTATAAATACTGCGGAAAACAGTATGACAGTTCCTCAAAAGGTTAAGTATAGAATTACTGTGAGATGCAGCAATTTCACTTCTGGGTACACCCAAAAAGTTGAAAGGAGGGATTCAGACAGGCATTGGTACACTGTGTTTATTACAGCACTATTCACAGTGGCCAAAAGGTGGAAACAACTTAAATGCCGGTCCATGGATGAATAAGATGTGGAATAATAAACAGTGGACTATTATCAGCTTAAAAAAGAAACGAAATAAATACTGACGCATACTGCAGTGTGGATGAACCTTGAAGATACTGTGTTGGGTGAAATAAGCCAGCCATAAGGACGAATATTGTGTGATTCCACTTACATGAGATACCTAGAGCAACCAAATTCAGAGACAGAAAGTGGAACAGTTGTTACCAGCAGTTAGTGGGGAGAGAGGTGTGGGGAGTTACACTTTAATGGTTAGAGTTTCAGTTTGGGGTGATGAAAAATTCTGGAGTTGGGTAGTGATGGTCGCAAAATACTGTGAATGTGCTTAATGTCACACATAAAAGTAGTTAAAATGGTAAAATTTATGTTATACATTTCAATCACAATTTAAAAAACAATGACAGCCCTGGCTGGTGTGGCTCAGTGGATTGAGCACAGGCTTGTGAACCAGAGTATCGTGGTTCGATTCCCAGTCAGGGCACATGCCTGGGTTGCAGGCCAGTTCCCAGCCAGGGGATACATGAGAGGCAACCATGCATTGATGTTTCTCTCCCTCTGTCCTTCCCCTCTAAAGATAAATAAATAAAATCTTAAAAAACAAAACAACAGTTACAGTTGATCCTTGAACAACACAGGATTCACCTGAGTCCACTTCCATGCAGGTAGTGTTTTCAATAAGTACTGTCTATTAGAAAATTTGGGGGCAGATTTCCTTAACCACCACAAAGCAGTCATGTCAGTTACACTAGGCTAGACTGAAGTAATTGTATTGCTGCTTTTTTGTTAGCAATTCGTGAATTATTACATCTGTATATAAGTATGAATTTCTTTTTCACATTATCTTTCACTTTTGGTGTCTAATGTTAGTAATGTATATAACATACAGGGCTTTGTATCATATAAGATAATATTGAGGTAGGTACTGACAGCTGATACTTGTAAACAGGTGATGTAAACATACAGTGTCAGTAAATACAGTATAGTACTATAAATGTGTTTTCCTTATGATTTTCTCATTAACATTTTCTCTAGCTTACTTTATTGTAAGAATACAGTATAATACATATTAACCAACTTTATCATTAAGGCTTATAAGCAGGAGTCTTGAATACTCCCCAGTGACGATATCCAAATGACCAATAAATAATCACTTATAATTTTCATATGTAAAACAGAGACAAAATGAAAACACATAATCCTAATAAAAAAGGCACAAAATTATAGCTAGATGTGTCAGTTAAAGGGTAGGAAGTAATATTAAAAGTACCCACAAAAAGACAGTTATCGTCACAGAACAACAAACAAATAAATAATAAAAATGTTGTTATAATCTGCAGATCTTTGATTACAGCTAAACTTTTTTTTCTGTTTTCATTGACTCTTGTGAATGATCTTATGTGTCTTTTCTATTTCTATATTGCAGTGTTAAAGTTATTAGTATTTTAAATTTATATCCAATTACACAAGTAACACATAAATATGATGTTATGAGAACGTTATCATCATAGCACATGCTGAAGTCCTGCTGGATCATTGTGCTTAGTTTAGGCTCTTACTTAACTGCAGCCGACACTGGAGGTAACCGCTGTTATCAGTTTGGTAGGCAGCACTGCGCATCTCTTTCTATGTGTGCATTCATGTTTTTATGTGCATAACATTTTTATTTGTATTGTAATAAAATGTATTATGCTGTCATTCTGCAGATTGATTTTTTCCATAGTTTTTTTAAACTATTCCTCTATCAAAGGACATTTGAGTTGCTTTTAGTTGTTTGCAGTTATAAACGTGCTCAGTCAACATTCCTTCACATATACAAGTCTATCCTAACATAGAAAGCAGGAAGTGGAAATTCTAGGCCACAGAAAATGAACATACTTTCTTAAAAAAAAAAAAAAAAAGGACGGGGACTTCCAGCCAAGATGGAGGCATAGGTGGAAATACTGTACCTCCTCGCACAACCAAATTTAAGGACGACAAAGATTTAGAAACAAAAACACAACCAAAACAGACAGAAAATTGAACTGTACAGAAGTCCGACAACAACGAACCATTCATCCAGACCGGTAAGAGGGGCGGAGTTGGCGGCTAGAGGAGAGGGGTCCTGGCAGGAAGAAGCTGTAGTTGGCAGACACAGGTGCGGGGAGAAAAAGAGCAAACCCAGTGACCGTGCAAGACAGCTGGCTGACCACAGACACACATTCATGCACAGATAAACCAGGCAAAAAAAATGGGCAGTGAGATAGACCGTGCAACCAGGGCCCCAGAGATGGGAACTAAAGCCTAAAAGCACTGATTGGAAAAACTTTCAGGGGTTGAGGTGCTGGGAGAGGCTCCCAGCCTCACAGGAGAGTTCATTGAAGAGACCCACAGGCTCCTAGAACGTACACAAGCCCACCCACCCAGGAACCAGCACCAGAAGGGCCCAGTTTGCTTGTGGGAAGCAGCAGAAGGGACTGAAATCCAACAGAGAGCTGAGCAAGTGCCATTGCTCCCTCTATGACCCCGCCCCCAGTCACAATCCAGTGACTGGGTAGACCCGCCTCTTATACATAACAGGCGTGGACAGACCAAAACATGGCTTAAGCAGAAGAACAGCTCGAAGCCCCAGAGCCAATACTTCTAAGTGACAAAGAGATAGCCAACCTATCGGATGCACAGTTCAAAACACTGGTGATCAGGATGCTCACAGAACTGGTTGATTTTAGTCGCAAATTAGGTGAAGAAATTAAGGCTACACTAAGTGAAATGAAGCAAAATGCACAGGGAACCGGTATTGATGGGAAGAAAATTGGGACTAAAATCAAGGGAGTGGACCAGAAGGAAGAAAGAAACAACCAAACAGAAAAGAATGAAGAAACAAGAGTTCAAAAAAACGAGGAGAGGCTTAGGAACCTCCAGGACATCTTTAAATGTTCCAATGTCCAAATTACAGGGGTACCAGAAGGGAAGGAGGAAGAGCAACAAGTGGAAAACTTATTTGAACAAATAATAAAGAAGAACTTCCCCAATCTGGCAAAAGAAATAGACTTCCAGGAAGTCCAGGAAGCTCAGAAAGTCCCAAAGAAGTTGGACCCAAGAAGGAACACACCAAGGCACATCATCATTACATTACCCAAGATTCAAATGAAGGAGAGAATCTTAGAAGCAGCAAGAGATAAGGGGACAGTCACCTACAAAGGAGTTCCCATCAGACTGTTAGTGGATTTCTCAAAAGAGACCTTACAGGCAAGAAGGGGCTGGAAAGAAGTATTCCAAGTCATGAAATCCAAAGACCTACAACCAAGATTGGTCTATCCAGCAAAGCTTTTATTTAGAATGAAAGGACAGATAAAGTGCTTCTCAGATAAGATCAAATTCAAGGAGTTCATCATCACCAAGCCCTTATTATATGAAATGTTAAAGGGACTTACCTAAGAAAAAGATAAAAAAGCTGAACAGTGAAAGGACAGCAAACTCACAGTTATTAACAACCACACCTAAAACAAAAGCAAACTAAGAGGACAGCTAGATCAGGAGCAGAACCATAGAAATGGAGATCACATGAAGGGTTAGCAACAGGGGAGTGGGAGGAGAAGGGGGGAGAAGGTACAGAGATTAAGTAGCATAAATGGTAGGTAGAAAATAGGGGGAGGGCAAGAATAGTAGGGGAAATATAGAATCTGAAGAACTTGTGACACATGGACATGAACTAAAGGGAATTTGGGGGGGAAGGGTGTGCAGGGTGGAGGGAATGAAGGGGGGAAATGGGACAACTGTAATGGCATAATGAATAAAATATATATATTTTTAAATGGAGAATACCTTGTTTTCTTCCAACGTAGTTCCTTCCAACTTAAATTTCTACCAGCAGTACATAAGAGTTTCTGTTTCCATACACCCCGATGAGCAATTCGTATTATCAGACTTTTGAAGTTTTTTCCTATTGGCGAAGTTTTAAAATGTTACTTGTGGTTTTACGAGTGAAGTTGAGCATTTTTTCACGTTTACTGGCTTGCTTTCTGCTTTCTGTAAATTGTCCATTCATTCCTTTTGCCCACTTTTATTAGGCTATTTTCTTCCTGTTTCAGTTGATAGTTTTTTATAGGTCTTGTTTAGCTGTCTTTGCTTATATACGTTACATATATTTTTTACTATATTTGAGCTCTGTATGACAAAACAATCCTTTGTCATCTTTGTTGAATATCTTTTTCCACATCTGTTTGTCTTTTTCTCGTTCCTTCTTTTTTTCATTCTAATTGGCTTTATTTCTTCCTTTAAATATTTGGCAGATTGACCAGTGGAGTCATCTGGGCTTAAAGTTTTCTCTGTTGGAAGGTTTTTAATTGTGGTTTCATTTCTTTAATAGTTTATATAACTAATCATATTTTCTATTCATTTTTCTGTCAGTGTTAGTAAGTTCTGTTTTTCTAGTAATCTGTTCATCTAAATTTTCCAATTGATTGGCAAAAATGTAGTATTTTTATTATCTTTTTATCTTTGTCAGATTTGTAGAGATGTATCATTTTTAAATTTCTGATATTCTTAACATGTTTTACTACTTTTTATTTAGTCACAGTTACCAAAAATATCAGTTTTATTAATCCTTTTCAAAGGAACAGCTTTTGTTTTTCTTAATCCTTCCCAATGTGTATTAATGTCATTTCATTTTTGAAGAGTATTTTTTGGGGGTATAGAATTCTGGCCTGGTAACAATTTTCTTTCAGCCCTTTGAAGATAATATCCCACTATTTTCTGGTTTCCATTTTTCTCTTTCAGTCAGCCTTTAGCTTCTTTGAAGGTAATTGTCTTTTCCGTGCCTAATTTTAATATTTTCTTTTTGTCCTTGATTTTGTATAGTTTGAATAATGTAGTTATAGTTTGAATAATATAGTTTTGTATAGTTTCAAATATTGAACATTTGTATTTTCTTTGTTTTTTTAATTGGGAATATGAATTTTCATCTGACCTTTGTTTTATATGGACATTTTAAGTGATTATCAGTATCTAATGGAATCTGTCTTTGTATTTTTATTTCTTCTGTTTCGGGAAGACCTTGCCACTCTCAGCTCTTGGATACTGAAAAATTGTGTGTTGGGTTTACTATGGGAATCATTTTATTGTAGAATGAGAAGTGGAGATCTAAATTTTTAATGCTGCATCTTCCAATTAGTTATCATAGTAAATCAACCATTCTAACAAAATGTATTAGGTGATATTTTAATTTAGCGGTTTTCCGTTTTGATGTCAGTAGCTGCATCTGTTTTAAGGACTGTGCTTTAACTCCCTTTCATTTGACCTCCGTTCCTCATCAATCCTCCAGGACGGCACCCATGTTTTTCATGTAAGGTGTCTGGTGCCGAAGTGAAGCGTTGCTCTGTTGGTGCTTGTGGGAAATTTTACCACGAAGCCTGTGTCCGCAAGTTCCCCACTGCCGTCTTTGAGTCAAAAGGATTCCGCTGTCCCCAGCACTGCTGCTCCGCCTGCTCGATGGAGAAGGACATGCACAAAGCAAGTAAAGGTGAGACAGAGCTAAGGAGGGGGACAGAGGGGTTCCTCTTCTAAGTTCAGTAGCAGATAGTAAACGTGTTATTAAAGAACATCAGGGTTGGGATGGGAGTAAAAGGCAGAAAACTGTACTTGAACAACAATTTAAAAAAACATCAGGCATTCTGTCTGTCCGTCTGTAGATACCCAAGCTCAGCCACAATAGATAGCATTATAAGTAGGGATTAGGTTGTAATTCAGACCTTGAGGAGAAAACCCCATATCTTCAAAGTTACCCTTGAAAATTCCTTAAACAGGTGCCATTGGAGACCACCATCTCTTCCAGCATTGGCGCAGACGAATGTTTCTTTGGTCTCCAGATGGGCACTGTGTTTAGGGGCCATACAGCGTAGGAGCGACAGCCAAATTTGGGAAGGGAAATAGTTTTATCTTACGCTAACCAGCATCACATGGGAACCCAGAAGAATGCAACTCCAAAAATCTCAACTTACATACCCAGATAATGCCTTTTACATAGGTCCTTTCTGACTTGTCTTTAAACAGGTCGCATGATGCGCTGTTTGAGATGTCCAGTAGCCTATCACTCCGGAGATGCTTGCGTTGCTGCTGGAAGCATATTTGTGTCCTCCTACATTCTCATCTGTAGTAATCATTCCAAACGTAGCAGTAATTCATCCTCTGCTGTAAATGTAGGCTTTTGTTTCGTTTGTGCAAGAGGTGAGTGTCAGTTCTTTCTTCTTCTCTCTTCCTGAGTTCATTGGCCTATTTCCCCATGAAAATAGAGTTTTGATAACAACCCTGAGAGAGATGAACACTTCCAGTAACTAGTCTCTTACATAACATCAGACATTCAAATTGTTTGAGTATCAATTTTTCTATAAATTAGGCTAAAGTCTGCATTTTTTAAGTAACTTAGAATCACACATAAGTTCTTAGCATTTCTGCTTGGAGCGTCAAAGGATCAAACTGTTCCCTTCTGCAAACTTCTTCTATTCAAAGTAGATCTTCCCATGTCATATTTTTTAATTCAGAGCTTACAGCTGATTGAGTTTCCAATTGGCAAGCAAACCAAGCACATTTATTTCTTAATCGTTTATGTTGTATTTTGTCATGTTTTGGTCAGGCATTGAGAAAGGCCTGATGGAATACAGCCAAGGCCACATGTTGGTGGTGGTAGTTCAGAGCCAGCAACCCAGGCTGTTGGTGTTTAGGTGAAGTTGATCGACTAAAAACAATATCCCATCCTTGAGGGGTCAGTGAACTTGAGTTTGTGATAAATATAAAATAGAACTTCTTTAGACTGTACCGAAGATGAGGTTTTTGGTTTTCCTTTTTGCTGTAGGAGATAACTTTTTAAATTTGCTAAAAGTACCATAAAGTATTTTTTTATAGAATGTAGGCAGTATGATATATCTTGAGTTGCTTTGCTTTGGTAGCTCTCATTTTAAAAACAATAACTAGAGGAAATGGGCAGTAAAAGGTTAAATAAATGGTAGTCCTTTTTGTAGCAGCCATTTGAGTCCACTGTATACACTGTTTTCAGTATGTCTAAGTTTTGTAAGCACTGGAGGTTGTTGCCATTAGAAGGGAAGCACTGTGTGCTTCTTTACTAGAGCAATTATACAATTGTATCCTGCTCTGAAACCTGGCTGGCGCTTGGAGAAGAAGGTCTGAAATGTGTCCTGCCGCATTGTAACAGGTGACTGAAACATTCAAACAGTCAAAAGAAACAAAGTTACCACTAGTGTCTTTTCCATCTCCCCCTCCCTAAGAAAGTAATGATAGGATGGAAATACTGACTTCACCAATTGAGTGGCTAGCTTTAGAGACTTCTAAATAGATGAGTGTTTCTGTCACTAATCTATTAAGTTTCTGTCACTTTGCTGGTATTTTATTCTACCATTCTAGGCACGTATTACTACTCACTTTTACTAAAGGTGTGTGTGCGTGTGTTTCTGTGCAGCACGTGTGCGTGCATAACTAGGCCAGCATTTTAAACATCACGTTTTAACTCGTGTTGACTTACTCTGGAGTACATTCTGAATCAAGTACCATCAGCATATTAATCAATATTTTTGGCTCTATTACATTCAATAATTGGGAAACTTTTAGAATAGGTATTTTCAATTTAACACAATCAGAAAATAGCCCATTGTCAAGCGACCTAGTTTTGTAGAAAATCTAGCCATTTTGTTAAGTTTAACTTACATGCCTTGATTAAAAGGCTGGGATAATGGAAATGAAGGAAAAGCCCATGTTTTAATAAAAGGATCTATATTTGCATCTTACCAGTTTGAGAGTTCTAAAGACTTAGTATATTTAAATGCCTATTTAATCAAGATTATTTAATTCCCAAATATTTTAACTGAAACTTTGTCCAGTAAACAGGAATTTTCATTTTCCTTTCCAGAATTTTACAGAAACTTAATCTAAATAAATCAGATACTGGGATTTAGGAAAGCTTAAAAGTCTTTCAGAAATAAATGTATTCTTTATTAATTACATATAGAGGTCTCCTTTTTAAAAAGAGACCTCTTTTTAAAAAGGTATCCCCTTTAAAAAGGTATCCCCTTTTTAGATAATTTATTATTATTTTATAATAAATCCACATATTAAAAGGAATACTTTAATCATTTGCCACATTTTGCTATATATAATGTACACTCTGTCAGACAAATTTCTGAGGGAAAATAAGGAAGCACACTATACATAGGTATAATAATCTCATGTATAATGTGTGCAAAAATGCAGGTGCACTTTATACACAGGAGCACAGTACACATGGCAAACTACAGTATGTTTTGGTATTAGAAGACTTAGCTTGTTTTCTTTTTGTTCCTTGCCTCTATTAGTTTTTCTTCATGGTTATTGCTGTTTAAAATTATTAAGCTAATTCTCAAGTATATGATTACCTAGAAATGCTTCAAGGTTTAGAGGAACATTGCTCATTCTTTGCCCTGCTCATGGTGCCACAGGAGTCTGGTTCAGTCTTATTTCAGTGTAGTGCGGGGGCGGGGGAAAGTCGGCTCGCGCTTGTGAGTATGTGAAACAGTTTACTCTTGGATTAGTGTCTATTAACTATTATGTTAACCTGCTTTGCCCACCCTGCATAGTTATCACCTTTCATTGGGAGGGTAGTATAAAGTAATAGTGAGCTAATTTCTGTGCCTTTCTTTGTAATGGTAATTTTAGAGATTAAAAAAAATTTTTTTTAGAGAGGGTGAAGGGAAGGAGAAATAGTGGGAGAGAAACATTGACTGGTTGTCTCTTATGTCTCTCATTACCTCTCCTACACACCCTGACTGGGGACCGAACCCGCAACCCAGGCACGTGCCCTAACCAGCAGCTCTGACTTTTTGCTTTTCAGAACAGCACCCAGCCAACTGAGCCACACCGGTCAGGGCCGTAGTGATCATTTTAAGTGGAAAAGTTAGATTAGGGTTTTCTTTTACCTTCAATAATGATAGCCATTTATTTTGCATCTGTAAATCAAACTTTACTAGATACTATCTGAATGTATTGCCACAGTTGCCCAAAGAAGTTGTTTCTGCATTTTATGTGGATGAGAACACTGAAGCCCCGATGAAATCATTTACTTGGAGGTAACACAAGTTGTTACGTAGAGGGACCAGCATGTGTACTTGATTTTTCTTATTTCAAAACCCATGTTTTTAATACTGCACCACTTCTCGCTATTTAAATGTATGAAATTCATTTGACATTATATAACTTTTATTCAAAGATTCTTATATTATTACCAATTAGCAATTTCAGTTCCATTCTGTCGTCTGGTTCAGAGCTATTTCTCAAATCTGCCCCAGTGTAGGGTAGCACCAAATAAAGATAACATTCACAGAAAAAAGTAAGTGGTATCCCCTTTAAAAACAAAACTCTTCCCTCTTCTCAAAATGATCTCTGTGAAACTGCTGTTGTGATTTGTATTACAAAATCCTGGATCATTATTAACTGACCAGTAACCAGATAGAGAGCTCTTCCCTGGCCTTAGAGCTCCTAGGTTAGCCTTGGCCTATTGCTATGTTGTGAACTTAGCTAGGGGAGGGGAGGGGAGGAGGAGGGCGAAGAGAAGTAGATGCCACAAGTGGGTTAGAGCAGATTTTATGTAGATCAAAAAGACTGTTTTTTTTTTTTAATAAACTTTTTAAGTTGGTAATCACTTTATATCATGGCAGGGAAAAAATTTAAATGGTTCATATTACCTCAGCGAAGTTCAACAAATTATGGCCCTTTTAAAACCAATATTGTATTGATAGAGAAAAGCTTCATTATCTGGCAGAGAGAGCTAGAATCTATTTTAACATATCTCAAGATCTGAATAGAGAGAAGGAGAAACAGTTCTTCCTTTAAGTGCTGCTTGATATGTGGGCAGTAGATCAGGCTCTACTATGTTTTGTAAATAATTCTTATTTCTAACAGTTCAGTGATACATTATTTTGTTCTCCGGATTGTCATCTTAGTACTTCTAAATATTAAGGAATGTAGCTTTATTTTTCTTAGGGAGTTTTTCGTATGATGTCAAATGTAGTTACACCTTCAGATTAATTTGGAATTTTCTTCTGGGTGTGTAGGTTTCTACATAGGGGTAGGGCATGAGTCACTTAAACTCCTTTTAATAACTATAGAAAGATTTTTCAGTCAGATCTTTCTTTTTCTTCATACTTTCTTTATGCCTCCCAACTTGAAGCGCAGCTCCATTATAGGGGTTGGTTTATTTTTTTCTCCTCATGGAATCATGGGTAGTTTCATTGCAGCTCATCTCTTTTCTGTTTGTCTCGTATAGGGCTGATAGTTCAGGACCATTCAGACCCCATGTTCAGTTCATATGCCTATAAGTCCCACTACCTACTGAATGAATCAAATCGTGCAGAGTTGATGAAATTACCTATGATTCCTTCTTCGTCAGCTTCCAAAAAGAAATGTGAGAAAGGTAAAAATCAAAATAGTTTATCTCTTGCTTTTATTTTTGCATTTCCTATTTTTTTCTTTCTAAATGAAGGGGGGAATGTATGCCTGTCAAGCACCATCTGTTGCTTTCAGTCAATTCTGCCTTGGTGATTGTGACTATCTTCATCCGGCTGCAAAATTACTAAAAAGGGCTTAAAATAATTCCATTACAAATTTTTACTCACTCTTCTCCTTGAACAAATTTTCACACATTTCGTATATCTACGGGTTGTTAAAGTTGAAAGACTAGGATTTTGCTTAATACAGAAGAATATTCTAAGGGCTCTTTCTCATTTGCCTGATGTAGAAGTACCTTTCATGTTAGAATACAATAGATACAATGTCATTTGTTACTAACTTTCAACTAAATAGCAAGATTATTAAAGAAAGGGAAACCAAGATACTGTTACTTAAAGATGTAGTCTTAGAATACATTCTATCATTTTGTTTCTTAACTGTTTTTGGTAAGATGCTATGAAAACTAGTTGCCCTTCTAGGATACATTAGTGGGCAGCTGGGGAGGATGCCCCAAATACTGGATATTGCAGGGCAGCCCAGGTGAGCTGGACAACTGCTTATGGATGATTTATCCACAGAGAGTCAGGAGCCAAATGTATATTTATGTTCTCCCATAGTCTTTGGAAGAGAATCTTATCTTGTGTTTAGTTTACATAGCACATATGTAATAAAAATTAAAAGCGATTTAACAATAATGTATTATTTGGGAAGTTACTGTCTCAGCAGGTAAAATAAATAACCTAGAAGGTGAAAGCCTTTTCCTGTACACAATCCCATTAGGATATTGGAGCCAGTTTCAGATTTTTTAAAGAAAAGTTCATTCATACCTGATACACTGCATTGGAAGTGGGTGTTTTGTTTTGTTTTGTTTTGTTTTTCCTTCCTGTTGCCTGCTTGATGTATTTTTGCTCTATCAGAATTCTTAAGTGGCAACCTATAACTTAAAAGAAAGTGTAACTAAGAAGCTGATTACAATCTGGAAAAGTAGGCTGGAGAGGTATTAAGCTTTTTGTTTGTTTCATTTCCATTGAAGTTGCAGGATGTCACCTTACTGCTGACACCTACTTCCAAAACAAACAGCATTGGTCTGCCTCCATAACGCAATAAAATTCGACTACCCGAAGCATTTTAGGAAATGCCTTATTTTCCTGCTGTTGCCTTTAAAATCAGATTAATTCAATTGTTGCTTGCTTTGATTTCAAAACTCAGTATTGACTTTGACATAAATTGAAATTATTTTGAGCCCTGTGTTTGCTTAGGTTGAACCGTTTCTTCTGTTTGCACCTGAAGCAGTTTCCTTGCATAGCACCAAGGTGGATTGTTCATATATTTATTTTTCTATTTCCCTTGTGTATTATTTTTTGTCAAAAAATCGTGATGATTTTCACTGATGATTCTCAGTCTGTATTTCCTCTGAAATAAGACTTAACTCTCCAGATTATTTTATAATGTTAAAAATGGCCAGTCTGACTCTGCCGCATCAGCTCTAATAAGTCACGTGTCCTCTAAGAGCTATTTGCAAAGGCTGTTCTTCCTATTGTGCATTTCTTTCTGTTGGAAGAAAAAAAAACAGATGATCTCATTTTAGTTTAAACTGACAGAAGAATTCCTTAGCCTAGTCTAAGAGCATCAGACAGCTAGTCTGTAGGTTGGAGAATTGGAGCCATTAGTCCCTATTGAGATTTGCAGACAAAGGGAAAAATCCCAATGATTGAAGTAAAAGCTTTTAAGCAGAGGAAATATAGTAATTTAACTCATCACTGATTGCATATGGATTTTCTTTTTGTTTTTATGTTAATCAGTTAGAAGTTTGAAAATCTGAAGTAATACAAGATTTTCTGGAAAATTGATAGCAAACCCTCCAAAGTTTGGAGCGTGTGATTTGATAAAATTGTATAGAGGACTCCTAGCCTTTAGCTTATGAGACTTGAAATCTTAGTGAAGTTGTGGGTTATAGACATGATTTTCCAATGGGAAGATTAATTTTTTTTGCAGTAGATGTCTTTGTCATGTTGTGTCTTCAGTGGTTAACACCCTTCTTTGTCACTTGTTGAAATACCTGTTACAAATACCTATCTTTCCCCCCCACCAAATCCTTTTCATTTCTTTGCATTTAGTAATATTATTTTGTTTTGTTTGCCACAGTGGTTTTGGTCTTAATCCAGAGATCATTTTGTGTATTTAAAAGGAGAGGATTTCACTAGGGAAATTGGAGGGATCTCCTTGCATATGGTACTTCATTCTACACTGCTATGATTTTACTTAATTGGATGCTATAAAGCAGTGGTTTTCAATATGAAGTTAGAAAAGGCTTAATGTAAACAAAATTTTTGAACTATGTCTAATATCTCAGAAAATCTAACAGAATCACACATTTATGCAAACTAAAGCTGCATGAGTTTCTTTATATTTGGCTATGATTTAAACAATTCGGCGTGACAGTGCTAGTTTTGTTACGGGATTCAGAAGCTTGGATTGGTAGTTAGATATTTCTTTGGTTAATAAAAACAGGAAAAATACTACTTTTAAAATGCATGGGTTTGGGTTTATTTTGGGTTGATAAAATATTTGAAAACATACAGGCCCCTGAGGAAAGGGAGAGGACCCTCGCTTATGACAAAGTTGCAAACCACTGCTCTATAGCCTGTTCGGTGTTTATCTTCCCCGAGAAGGTGATGACCTACATCCTTACCAGCTTGAGCAAGTGCAACCCCTTTGCTTTTTCATATTCTTTTTCGGGAAGAAACAGTACTGACCAACCTATTGCCTGTTTTCATTCTTCCTAATTGTATTATAAGGGGATATAGTCGACTGTGGCACTGGATTAAAATACAAAGATGATCGTTGCTTTCTTTCTTAGCTCTCAAGGAGAAAAGAAAGTAAGCTGCTACATTATTTCTTTGAAAATCTGCTCTCAAATCCGCTCTGTGTAAAGATTTCATGCAACTATTTTGTCAAGTATTAAGAGTTTTAGCTTCCTACAAAACTTGTATCTCAACAGCCACATTTTACACAGGGGCAAGGAGTATAGTAATGTTTCTTTTAATATTCAAAACCTGAGTTTCTGCCTACTGAACCCTTGAAAAGGGAAGAAGCTAATAAGTCTGTTTATTTGCTTTCTATTTTAATCCATCGCCATGGATATGATTCCATCCCTTTGTTATTTTCCCCCAATTTGAATCAAATTTAATACACTTAAAAGATAACTTTCTCCTTTTTCTTTCTTTTTCTCTTTCCTCTTTTCTCAGTTATTAAGGCTGTTTATTTGTTTCAAGGTGGAAGATTGCTCTGCTGTGAATCGTGCCCAGCTTCCTTCCACCCGGAATGCCTGAGCATAGACATGCCAGAAGGCTGCTGGAGTTGCAACGACTGTAAAGCCGGCAAGAAACTACGTTACAAGCAGATTGTTTGGGTCAAATTGGGGAATTACAGGCAAGTTTTCCCAAGGACAAAGGACATATTCAATCATTGTTCAGACCGAGGTTCATAATCTATATATACACAGGCTAGGAAAAGGTAGGACGGCAGAGCTATTTCCTGAGAGAGAGAGAGACATAGAGACATAGATCACACACCTATTTTGGTTGACTTTCGCTTTTAAGTTCTGAAAGTTATTTTATACCAATGAACTATTTACTCTAGATTTTGGAATAAAAAGTCTTATGTGGTTAAAAGGGAAGATGCTTTCTTTTTTTCCTAATTAGATTTATGTTGACTTATGATTTCTAATAAGACCAAGAGCTTTTTCCTAGACAAAATGATTTTCTTTGCCCCTAAATCTGGTTCATTTTAGGTCAGGCTAGAAGCTCTAAATTGTGTGCAAAGAGAGTTTTTTAGGATTTAAAGAGAGAGTTTCATTAAGAGCCTTTGTTTTTGTTTGTTTATTTTTAGAGAGGGTAAAAAAGGGAGAGAAACATCAATCAGTTGCCTCTTGCACGCCCCCAACTATGGACCTGGCCCACAACCTAGGCATGTGCCCTGACTGGGAATTGAATGAGCAACCTTTTGGTTCACAGGCCAGTGCTCAATCCACTGAGCCACACCAGCCAGGACTAAGAGCCTTTAGTTTTTATCGGAATGAGTAAGAAGTATGTGTGGTTACTATTATTTGAATAAAACTTTCTCCTTTTAGGAAGCCTGTTTTTTGAAAAAAAATTATTTTAATTGTTCAAGTACAGTTTTCTGTCTTTTACTCCCATCCCAGTCCAGCCCCAGGAAGCCTGTTTTTTTATCAAGCCTTTGTGAACAGGAATAGTGATATATTTAAAAAACTGTACATTCAGCATTTTGAGGCATATGCTTATCATTTTACTAAGAATAAATACTGCTCAAGAGTACACAGTGGAATTCTACTTTTCAATTAGAATTCTAAGTAAAATATATTTCTATAGGATTTCAAGCATACTGTAATTTATGTGTATTTTTGCAAGGACTCTGTTGTTTTCCCTGTTTTAAATATCCTGTTCACTTACCTGTTTAACTTTAAAGGCTGTTTTTCTCATACTATGGTTTCTCTTCAGATTGTATAAATCTTTTGCCTTTTAAAAACTGGTTTTTTAAATGTATTTTACTGATTATGCTATTACAGTCATCCCAGTATTTCCCCTCCTGTCCCCCCTCTGCCCGGTACCTCCACTCCCTCCAGCATTGCTCCCCTCCTTAGTTCACGTCCACAGGTCTTCCATACAAGTTCTTTGGCTTCTCCATTTCTTACACTGTTCCAACATCCCCCTTTCTATTCTGTAACTACCAAATATGGTTTTTAATCTCTGCACCTTTTCCCCCATTCTCCCCCTCCCCTGCCTGCTAATAACCCTCCATGTGATTGCTGTGAATCTGTTCCTGTTCTAGTTGTTTGCTTAGTTTGTTTTTAGATTCAGTTGTTAGTAGTTATGAATTTATTGCCATGTTAATGTTCATAGTTACGATCTTTTTCTTACATAATTCCCTTTAACATTCATATAATAATAGCTTGGTGGTGATGAACTCCTTTAGTTTTACTTTGTCTGGGAAGCACTTTATCTGCCCTTCGATTCTAAACAATAGCTTTGCTGGATAGAGCAGTCTTGCCTGTAGGTCCCTACTTTTCATCTGGCAAAAAAATACTTCGTGCCAGTCCCTTCATGCCTGCAAAGTTTCTTTTTTAAAAAATCAGCTGACAGTCTTATGGGAACTCCTTTGTAGGTAACTATCTGCTTTCCACTTACAGTATTGAAGATTCTTTCTTTATCTTTAACCTTTGGCATTTTAATTATGCCGTGTGTCTTGCTATGATCCTCTGGGTCACTCTTGGTGGGGAGTCTCTGTGCTTCCTGAACTTCCATGTTTATTTCCTTTACCAAATTAGGGAAGTGTTCTTTCATTATTTTTTCAAATAAATTTTCAGTTCCTTGCTCTTCCTTTTCTCCTTCTGGCACCCCTATGATTTTATTGGTACGTTTGAAGATGTCCCAGAGGCTCCTCAGCCTAACCTTATTTTTTTGGGGGGGGGGTGTTATTATTTTTTCTTCCTGGTGTTCTGATTGAATGTTTCTTTCTTCCTTATGTTCCAGATTCTCAATTTGATTCTCAGCTTCATCCTTTCCCCTGTTGGTTCCCTGTAGATTTTCCTTTATTTTACTTAATGTAACCTTCATTTCTGCCTGGGTCTTTTTTTATGCTGTTGAGGTACCCAGTGAGTTATTTAAGCATCCTGATTACCAGTGTTTTGAACTCTGCATCTAATTGGTTGCTTATCTCCATTTCATTTCATCCTTTTCCTGGAGTTTTGTTCTGTTCTTTCATTTGGGCCATATTCTGTGTTTCTCATGTTGACAGCCTTCCTGCGTTTGTCTCTGTGTGTTACATAGAGCTACTTTGACTCCGTGTCTTAGTGGCATGGCCCAGCTGGGTGAATGTGGCTTCTTTAAATCCTTCATTGTCAGACTTCTGTAGAGCTTGGTTTTCTGACATTTCTGGATGATATTTGTTTTGTAGCCTAGTTGTAATTTTGCTACAGTTGTGCAAGGAGGCAAGGTATGTTTACCTATGCCTCCATCTTGACCAGAAGTCAAAACTTTGTTTTTTTAGTTGACATAAGCAGCATTGAGGTTGAGAAGGCCCCCCCACCCAATTTTTTTCAACCTATGACAGGAGCTCTCCAAATTCTTTAAAAAAAAGAGACAATTTAAATATGTAAAGAATTTTATACTGTGTGGCAAACCGTATTATAAAGTTTTAAAAAGCAAATGTCAGCCCTGACTGGCATGGATCAGTGGATCGAGTGCTGGCCTGCAGACTGAAAGGCTGACAGTTTGATTCCCAGTCAGAGCACGTGCCTGGGTTGTGGGCCAGGTCCCCACCTGGCAGCGTGCAACAGGCAGCTGATCAATCACCTCTTGCACATTGATTTTTTTCTCTCCCTTTCTTCCACCCTCCCTCCCCCTCTCTCTAAAAATAAATAAATAAAATTGTAAAAGAAATATCTCAAATAGTGTAGGAAACCTTTATCTCTTCAAATAAATTTGAGAGTATTTTCCTTTTATTTAATTTGTGAGTGCTTTTTAAAGATATAGTTGGCATAACATTTTCAGGTGTACAACGTAATGTTTCATTCAATATTTTGAATATAGTATTACAGAATGATCACCACAGTAAGTCTAGTCAACATTCATCACCACACATAATTACAATTTGCTTTTCTTGTGATGAAAAGTTTTTAAGATCTACTCTCAGCAACTTCCAAATATATAGTACAGTATTATTAAGTATAGTCACTATGCTGTACATTACATATTTCCTTTTTCAAAAAGTTGTGAATGTGAAAATATCTTTGCCTTAAATACTTAAATTTTAATCCCATGGCATTTTATATATGTATTTTTTTAAGATTTTGTTTATTTTTAGGGAGAGGGTCAGGGAGGGAGAAAGAGAGGGAAAGAAACATCCCCCAGCTGAGCCCCTGATCCGCAACAGAGGAATGAGGCCTCACTGCAAAGCAAACCAGTGACCGTTCAGTGTGTGGGAAGATGCCCAGCTCACCAGGCCGCACTCATCAGGGCTCACGTGGCATTTTAAAGAAGCCCGGAGCAGTGCTCCAGTTCATAGCCCAGTGAAGTTTTATATGCCAGTCATATTCCTCTTGTATGTCCTATAAAAACCTGCATCCATGAACTAATGTTAATGTATCCAGTCAGGCCCAGCTGGGCCATGTGAAGCGAAGCTGTTTCTTTTCAGTAATTAGTCGCTCCAGTGCAGAGCTTCCCAGGATTTTGAGGACCTGGAACCCCCCTGGCAGTGTCAGGAAAGTGTGGCCCTTCCTGACACCGTGGGTGCAGGACACTCTGCAGTGCCCTAAAGGATTTGGGGGTAACCATGTCCTAGCCCCCTGTGAGGGAACCAAACCCTGACCATGCAGAGTGGTGGTGTGTGTGTTTGAACGACTTGAGCGCAGCCTCTTACCCACGTTCTTCATTAGTTCTTAGACAGACAGCAGGGTGCCTTTTCGAGGGAGCACATTCAGGCTCCACCCCAGTTCTGGGGGCGTGACCACGCTGTCGTTTATATTGTAAACGACATGATTGTTCATTAACTAAATGGCTTTCTCAGGCACTTATAAAATAAGTGACTGAGAACTTTAGGTTTGTATGTATTTACTGTTCATATTGATGATTTTACGTGGTACTAAAGGTTCACCTTTCAGTTCTAACTTGCCCTGCTGCAGGATGTCACACGTGCCTCACAGATGGTTTCGTGTGGTGGTGACTGTGCTGTTTGGTCACCGTGGCACGAAGCAGTTACGCTTCACTCTGCCCCACAGTCCACCTTTGTTATGATCCAAGATGAATTAGGCTCCAAAATACACACCGATACAAACCTAGTACATTTGACCAAAAAATACTACCTCGATTGATTAGAGCCAGCAAATGCTCATTTGAATGAGAGTTGTTTTTTCTTACTATACATCTCTTTATTCTCAAATGAGTCCCTTGACTACTAGAAATAAACTTTTACACCTTGAAGGACAATACTGGTTTTAAGAACGCTGAGTTGGGAAAAAACCAAGAGTTTTCTAGCATAGAGATTTGGTTTGGAATGATATTGGTAAATTCTAATTCTTAAGGCAGGTGGTGGGTTCATTATTATTTTATTGTTATGTTTTAGAGCTTATGTTTTCATGATATATCTATATTTTATAAATATAAAATACTAATTTTTTAAAGAGAGAAACTACAATTGGGTGTTTGGGGCCTAGTTCAGTTTATGTTAACTGTTTCATTAATTTATTAATCAGTATGTTTTTAAATGATGTGTGGTTTGAGCAGGATTAAAGATAAGGTAAAAAAAAAAAAAGGACTTTTGGCCAAGATGGAGGCATAGGTAGACACACTGTGCCTCCTCGCACAGCCAAAAGAATGACAACAACTCAAAAACAAAAGATGACCAGAACTGAGAGAAAATCAAGCTGTATTGAAGTCCGACAACCGAGGAGTTAAAGAAGAAACACTCATCCAGACCAGTAGGAGGGGCAGAGACAGGCGGCCCTGCGGAGAGGACTTACAGCCAGGTGGTGTCTGGAGGACCAGGGCGGGCAAGGCTTCAGGAAGCGGCTGATGAAGCATGCGGTCCCATATGCGTGCGCAAATAAACCAGGAGGAATAACTGGGGAGAGAAATAGATGGCACAACCCAGGGTTCCAGTTCAGGGAAGTAAAGCCTCAAAGCACTAACTGAAAACACCTGTGGCGGTTGAGGCACCAGGAGAAACTCCCAGCCTCACAGAAGAGTTTGTTGGGAGAGACCCACAGGGTCCTAGAACGTACACAAGCCCATCTACCCAGAAATGAGAACCAGAAGGACCCACTTTGCTTATGGGAAGCAGGGGAAGTGACTGAAAACCAGCAGAGAACAGAGCAAGTGCCATTGTTCCCTCTTGAACCCCATCCCCACATACAGCATCACAACACAGCGACTTGTGTTGCCCTGCCCTGGTGAATATATAAGGCTCCACCCCTCACTACGTAACAGGCACACTGAGAAAAAAATGGCCCAAATGAAAGAAAAGATCAAAGCTCCCAAAAAATACAACAAAGCGACAGAGATAACCAACCTATCAGATGCATGGTTCAAAACGCTGGTAATCAGGACGCTCATAGAATTGGTTGAATTTGGTCACAGATTAGATGAAAAAATGAAGGCTATGCTAAGTGAAATAAAGGAAAATGTGCAGGGAACCTATAGTGATGGGAAGGAAACTGGGACTAAAATCAACAGTGTGAACCAGAAGGAAGAAAGAAACATTCAACCACAACAGAATGAAGAAACAATTCAAAAAAAATGAGGAGAGGCTTGGGAACCTCTAGGACATCTTTAAATGTTCCAATATCCAAATTATAGGGGTACCAGAAGGAGAAGAGAAAGAGCAAGAAATTGGAAACTTATTTGAACAAATAATGAAGGAGAATTTCCCCAATCTGGCAAAGGAAATAGACTTTCAAGAAGTCCAGGAAGCTCAGAGAGTCCCAAAGAAGTTGCACCCAAAGAGGAACACACCAAGGCACATCATTACATTACCCAAGATTAAAAATAGGAAGAGAGTCTTAGAAGCAGCAAGAGAAAAGGAGACAGTTACCTACAAAGGAGTACCCCTCAGACTGTCAGCTGATTTCTCAGAAGGGGCTGGAAAGAAGTATTCCAAGTCATGAAAGGCAAGGACCTACATCCAAAATCACTCTATCCAGCAAAGCTATCATTCGGAATAGAAGGGCAGATAAAGTGCTTCTCAGATAAGGTCTGGTTAAGGGAGTTGATCATGACTAAGCCTTTATTATATGAAATGTTAAAGGGACTTATCTAAGAAAAAGATTAAAAATATGAACAGTAAAATGACAGCAAACTCAGTTATTAACCACACCTAAAACAAAAAGCAACTAGAACAGGGACAGAGCCACAGAAATGGAAATCACATGGAGGGTTAGCAACAGGGGAGTGGGAGAGGAAGAGAGGGGGAGAAGGTACAGAGAATAAGCATAGACAGCAGGCAGAAAATAGATGGGGAGGGTAAGAATAGTTTAGAAAATGTAGAAGCCAAAGAGTTTATATGTATGACCCATGGACGTAAACTAAAGGGGGGAATGTGGGTGAAAGGGGGTGTGCAGGGTGGAGCGTAATGAAGGGGGGAATGGGACAACTGCAATAGCATAATCAATAAAATATATATTTTTAAAAGATAAGGTAAAAAAACATAAACAAGATATTTTGTGTCCATAGAATCTACAAGGTATAAAACTTTTTTTTCCTTCTGCCAGCCATGTAAAGAATGGTGTGATTTTCATTTTCTTGATCTTAAATTGTTTTTATTGCCTTGGCTGATGTGGCTCAGTGGATTGAGCACTGGCCTGCGAACCGAGAGGTCACTGGTTTGATTTCCAGGGCACATGCCTGGGTTGGGGGCCAGGTCCCCAGTTGGGGGAGGTATGAGAGGCAACCAATCAATGTACCTCTTGCACATTGATGTTTCTCTCCCTCTCTTTCTCAGTCCCTCCCACTCTCTCTAAAAGTAAATAAATAAAATCTTTTAAAAATAAATGAAATTGTTTTTGTTCTTAGGTGGTGGCCAGCAGAGATCTGCAACCCCAGGTCTGTGCCACTGAACATCCAGGGCCTTAAGCACGACTTGGGAGACTTCCCTGTGTTCTTCTTTGGTTCTCACGACTACTATTGGGTACACCAGGGCAGAGTGTTCCCTTATGTCGAAGGAGACAAAAGCTTTGCCGATGGACAGACTAGTATCAACAAGACCTTCAAAAAAGGTAAGTTGGATGATGTTTACAGTGGCTCAAAACTAAGACTCCAGTGTTGAGCCCTCAAGACCTTCCAACTTGCATATAACACGTTTCCAGTAGTAGAGAATTTCACCAGGCTTTATGGTCTAGCATCCATAAGGTTCTAATCCCATTAGACCCATATCAGAATCTAATCAATTAGAAGAATACATTTTCCGTATAGTAGGCTCTGCCGCATATGTGGAAGGAGTTTTTTCAGTTATCTTTCCGCAGACAGATTTTTGTGAAACTAGTTGTCCTAGTCACGTGAAGCTCCTTAGCCGCAGGAGAGTAGTAGAACTTCCCATGAAGAGCCTTACAACTTCTTGTACCAAGTTACCCAGCAGTTTGGCCTTCTGAGTGAGAGTAAAATGAATTTCAATCTTGCGCGAGGTGCAGAGCTTCTCCTGGGCTCAGTGGGAAGCCTCTGATCATCGAAGTAGGACCTCGTCTCTGAGGCAGCCGTGCACACAGAGCAGCATTCAGCCAGAAGGGAGTCATAGCCTATTTCAGTGTTACTCTCCCCTGGTGGTGAGTGGTTATTTCCCAAACATGATTTTAAAAAGAAAACCTCTGGCCAGATCATTGCATTGGGATGGCAGTGTAAAACTACTCTCCTAACGGTTTTGTTTGTTTGGCATTTACATACTTTGTCTGGTCTTATTGGCAGCTCTGGAAGAAGCTGCAAAACGTTTCCAAGAACTGAAAGCACAAAGAGAAAGTAAAGAAGCACTAGAGGTTGAAAAAAACTCAAGAAAACCTCCTCCTTACAAACACATCAAAGTGAGTCTTTACCCATGAAAACGTTGGTGTTTGACAGGCAGGATGAGATAGTGCTCTCTCCGGAGTGAGAAGGCCCTTTGTGACTTGTGAGAACTTGCTAATTAGCACCCGGTCTTCTGTAAAAACAGTTTTTGTTGGAAGCGTCCGAGGGAGATGGGAGTTGGGAGCGGGAGCAGCAGCTGTGTGCCATGAGGACGAGGCCTTTGGTGAGGGCCTCTGGCACCTAGCAGCCACATGTACGCAGGGACAGCCTGTCCCTGCTCCGTCAGCTTATCCTGCAACTAAATGCAAACAAAGATAGTTGCCCCTTTTGTCCAGTCAGCCCACACTTATTTTCAGTTGTGAAATTTCCATCAACGAATAGAAGGAGAAATATACGTGACAGATAAGAGGGAATTCACATCAGTTTTTGGTATATTTGACCACAGAGGAGAAGCAGTTATTCATAGCTTATTCATGGGGGAAATTACAATGAAGAAAAAGAGCCTTTCTCAGAGTCACACTGCAAGGCAGTAGCAGAGCCAAGAGCAGCACGGATGTTTCTGGTGTACCTGTTTAAAATCTTCCCTCCTGTGTGTGATTTTGTTTTCTAGGCCAACAAAGTAATTGGGAAGGTGCAGATCCAGGTTGCGGACCTGTCCGAGATCCCCCGCTGCGGCTGCAAGCCAGCTGATGAGAACCCCTGCGGCTTGGACTCCCAGTGCCTGAACCGCATGCTGCAGTACGAGTGTCACCCGCAGGTGTGCCCGGCTGGGGACCGCTGCCAGAACCAGTGCTTCACAAAGAGGCTGTACCCTGAGTCGGAAATCTTCAAAACAGAGCGGAGAGGCTGGGGCCTCAGGACCAAAAGGAACATTAAGAAGGTAGCATGGGAGGGACCCTGAGGAGTGGAATAGACCAGCACCTGTGCCTCTTACAGATGCTTCAGCAGGGACAAAATACCTGGAAGCTTCCCAAGTTGAGAGTTGGGCACTTCTGAAGCAAAGAAGATGCTGTAGGAAGTGGTAGTAATAAAATGCGCATAAGTAATAAGACATAAGCTTGGTCTTATGAGTAGTCATAAAAAGGAAAAGGAACATTGGTCATTTTCTGTTTGAAGATTTTTTACTTGTTAAGCAAAATATATTTAAAAGACTAGTAAAAGAGGGTTCTGGCCAAGATGGAGTTGTAGGTAGGTAGAAACCCTTTGTGTCCTCGCACAACCAAAAAGAGGATGACAGCCAATCTAACAATCAGTAAACAACCAGAAGTGCCAGAAAATCACACTGCATGGAACTCCAGCCACCAAGAAATTAAAGAAAAACATCAGCCAGAACAACTAGACCAGAAGGCGGGGCAGACCAAGTGGGCTGGCCTGTGGAGAAACACCGGGATGAGGCGGTGGACCAGGTGGACGGGGCTGACTTAGCGAGACACTGAGACTCAGATGTGATACTGCGGTTGCTACAGTGGGAGAAACTCCCAGTCTCACGAGAGTCCAAGAGTCCTAGGGAACGTGCACTAGAGCCGGGCAGGTGAGCGGCATCGGTCCCTCTCTGGCCCCTCCCCCACAGCAGAGCTGTGGCACAGCAGGGAGGGTTGCCCTGCCTCCTTACAACCTATCAGCTGCACCAAGACAAAGAAATACGGCCCAAATGAAAGAACAGGGCAAAGCCTCAGAAAGAGACCTAAGTGATGAGGAGATCGCCAACCTCTCTGATGGAGATTTTAAAGCCCTGGTAATCAAAAGGCTCACTAATGTGATTGAGCTCAGTTGAAAAATGAAAAAACAAATGAAACATACCCAAAATGAAATAAAGCAAAATATTAAGGGAACCAACAGTGACAGAAAGGAAACCAGGACTCAAAGCAACAATTGGGTACAAAAGGAAGAAATAAACATCCCGCCAGAACAGAATGAAGAAACAAGAATTCAAAGAAGTGAGAGAGTCTTACAAACCTCTGGCACAACCTGAAATATTCCAATATCCGAATTATAGGGGTGCCGAAAGGAGAAAAACAGTAAGAAATTTAAAACTTATTTAAACAAATAATGAAGAAAATCTTCCCCACTCTGGTGAAGGCCATAGACTTCCAGGAAGTCCAGGAAACCCAGAGAGTCCCAAAGAAGTTGGACCCAAAGAGGAATACACCAAGGCACATCATCATTACGTTACCCAAGATTAAAGATAAGGAGAAAATCCTAAAAGAAGCAAGGGGAAAGGAGACAGTTACCTACAAAGGAGTTCCCATAAGGCTGGCTATCAGCTGATTTCTCAAAAGAAACCTTGCAGGCAAGAATGGGCTGGAAAGAAGTATTCCAAGTTATGAAAGGCAAGGACCAACACCCAAGATTACTCTGTCCAGCAAAGCTTTCATTTAGAATGGAAGGGCAGATAAAGTGCTTTCCAGATAAGGTCAAGTTAAAGGAGTTCATCATCACAAAGACATTATTATATGAAATGTTGAAGGGACTTATCTAAGAAAAAGAAAAAAATATGAACAGTAAAATGACAACAGACTCACAACTGTCAACAAATGAACCTAAAACAAAAAAAAACTAAGCAAACAACAGGAACAGAATCAGAGAAATAGACATCACATGGAGGGATTTCAGTGGGGAGGGGGAAGAGAGGAATAGACGGGCAGACATGCGGGGAAGAAGAAGCATAATTGGTAGGCATAAAATAGAGAGAAAAAATGGTATAGGAAACAGAGGACTCAAAGAACTTATACGTTCAATCCATGGACATGAACTAAGATTGGGGAATGCCGGAGGGTTGTGGGGGCAGGGCAGGGGGGTATAAAGGGAGAAAAAAAATGGGAAAACTATAATAGCATAATCAATAAAAATACTTTAAAAAATTAAACAGAAAAAAATAAAGTTAAAGCAAAAACATCTTTTAAAAGACCTAGTAAAGGCAATAGTAAAATTAAAAATGTACCAGGATAGAAACTAACAAACCTGGGACTTTGTCCCAACATCATACTTCATCAGTCTAGTCAGTCATTCTCCCTGAGCCCCAGTTTTCTCGTCTCTACAGTAGATAGTCATCCCTGCCCTACATGTTTAAGGGTTGTCGCTAGTTTCAAATGAGATTGTATATGCAAAAGCAACTGGAAAAAGTTGAGTCTTTTGAGGCAATTTTTCAAAGCAGTCTCTTTGTTTAACACAAGGAATGCATGTCCATTGCAGAAAAATTTTAAGTGCATAGCTCAAAGGAAAAAGTGAAAATCACCAGTATATCCTACTATTCAAACAGTGGCCCTCAAAACTCGATTCAGGTTGGTAAAATCTGAGTAAAGGTCGCACATTGCACCACCATCCATTTTCTTGTTTTAAGTAGTTACGTGAGATGTTACCATTGGAAAAAACGGAGTGAAGAGTACATGGGTCCTCTGCACTATTTTTGCTACTTTGTGAGTATCTGTCATTAGTTCAAAAATAAAAACTTATCCAAGAAAGTTTCATTTGTTTCTGGGTCAGATCTTTGCCGTCTTACCCCAAGGCTACAAACTAGTAGAAGTCTTCAGGCCAGCTTCAAGGCTCCGAGGCAACATCATTCCCAGCTCCCCATGATGAACCACAATGGTGTCACTTGGGCTACAGAAATAATATTGTCAGCAAAAAACAGACAAGCATATTATTACTTTTGAGGCACTGGCACAAGAAAAATAGTGCCACCTGAATGCTCACGAATGACAGCGGTGGTTTGCCTCTAGGGTCGAAGTTATATTTCTGGGATTCTTTTTGGTTCATTCTTTCGGATTATAGGCATTGTGTAAGGAATGCTTTCTAATGTAGTACGTTGGCTTCACATTTATATATTGCATGCTTCTCTGCAGGGCGAATTTGTAAATGAATATGTTGGCGAATTAATTGATGAAGAAGAATGCAGATTGCGCATCAAGCGAGCCCAGGAGAACAGTGTAACTAATTTTTATATGTTAATCGTTACCAAGGTAAAATCGCGTTGTTGTTTTTTTTTTAAGAAAAGAAGACTTTCTTTTCATTTTCATGGTTTTAGGTTGAACTCAGTTTCCTCTAATTTGATTTTCTTCAGGCAAAGTGTATTGATTAGTAGTAGCCAGGGTGCTCCCCACTGGAATGTGCTAGTTACCCCCAGAGCACAAAATGAAGGTTTATGAAAGCCTTGCGCGGGTCAGTTGAGACGGCCGTGACGTGAAGGCGAACCAGGAATAGGGAGGGTCCACGCAGCTGGGTTTTAGTCCCAGCTCTTCTGAGTCACTGAAAGACTTGGCTGTCAGTTTCTTTATCATTGAACGAGAGAATGAGCTCTGTAATTCTAAGTTATAAACCACCATTGAAGTTCTGATTTAGCAAAAATTCTACTCTGAAAATTGCCCTGCACATTTAAACTTTTTCTTAATAAGTAGGAGAAATGGATGCTGTCATAAGAGAAATGACAGTAAAACTGCTGGTTTAATACACGCATCAAATAAGTCCTATTTGATGTCCATTATCTCATTTAATTTCTTCAATAGTCCTCTGATTTACTGAGGACAAGAAACTGAGGTCCAGCCATGCCAAATGACTTATTGAACACCTTGATACAGTTTAAGGAAGAGCTGAGGTTAGGACCCATGCTCCCTGGGCCCAGGCCATCTTGAAAACCGCGTCAGGATATTATTAAAAGTAAGAACTAGAGGTCATGGAAAAGAAGTGTTATTTTAACTGATATGTCATTGTTTGAAAGTTTTACAAGTTTTATGAATGTATGTTTTATAAACATAAAATGCCACTTATTTACGAGTGTTGATTGGCTCCTGAAATCCTGTCCGCCTGCCAGTGACCCCTCTAGCCATCCTCCCAACACTTGGGAAGCTCCATCTTCTGGAGCTATCCAGAAGATCAGAGTTTAAATTTAGGGGCCGGATGTTGAGATTTGTGCAGTACTTTGGACTTTAAGTAAAAATAGAACAAACAGAAAACTACTAGTTTTGTGCAGTGGTAGTATCATAACCAGCGAGCTTTATCTAGGGCACCCATATCGCTGATGGAAAAGAAAAAAACTACTAGAGAGTACATCCGCTCCATCAGTCAAATCTGCAAGTCTTCATTCGGAAGCCAGATTTCTCATTTTCCCTACTTGCTTTTTATGGCCTAAACTTTCAGCCAACTGCTCCTACTCTAGTTTTTTGCTTCTTGCTCAGAGCAGAAAAGGAAGGCCAACAGTGAAACACCATAGTTCCCATCACAAGTAGTTACATGAATTCAGAGCTCTCTAATCAGAAATGCTTTAAAAAGCCCTGGCTGGTGTAGCTCAGTGGATTGAGCATGGGCGTGTGAAGCAAAAGTCGCCGGTTCAATTCCCTGTCAGGGTACATGCCTGGGTTGCAGGCTAGGTCCCCAGTAGGAGACACATGAGAGGCAACCAACCACACATTGACGTTTTTCTCCCACTCTTTCTCATTCCCATCCCCTCTCTAAAAATAAATAAATGAAATATTTTTTTAAAAGAATTACTTTTTCTAAACCTGTGGCCAGCAAAATCTTCTAAGCAGCATTACTCTATGATCTGTTTGTTTCTAGAAACAAACTTCAAAAGAAATTAAATTCCACTTTATCTTGAATGTCATCAGATAAAGTACAGAACTTAGTAAATTGCTCAGAGAGCATCACAGGTTCATATTTGTCAGCTTTCAGACATTAGCGGGTAGCAAAATGCTGCTGTCTGGTGGCTCTTGACTGAGTTGGATGTTTCCAAGATAACTTAGGTTTAGTTTTATGTCAAAGGCTTCTGTCACTTCTTTTCTTTCTGAAGGACCGTATAATTGATGCTGGCCCAAAAGGAAATTACTCTCGCTTTATGAACCACAGTTGCAATCCAAATTGTGAAACACAAAAATGGACAGTAAATGGAGAGGTTCGAGTCGGGCTGTTTGCGCTTTGTGATATTCCTGCAGGTAAAAACGGTGACTTGCTCCTCACGCCTCCCTCCCTCCCTCCCTAGGAACCAAGTGTACCATTTGAAAGTGAGACATTTGTCAAGGTTTGATGCTCAAATATTTATTCAAATAACTGTCAATAAGAAGTAAAAATCTCTATCCTGCAAAAGGGAGCTTAGCAAGAGCCTTTCTGTAAGAGAGGATATTACAGAATTTGGTGTATCCGTGATTCTTCTGAATTAATTCTCCATGTTATTGCTGTCTATACAACGTAACCAGAGGGTTAAGCTTTTGTTTTTTTAAGTACTGAAAGTCTGTGTTTAACAGGAACTGGTTTCTTGGTTTGTTTGTTGGGGGAGGGGAGTTGTTGTTTTAGTTTGAAAGATCAATGTGTTTCAAATTAGACATAAAAGCTTCTGAAACCAGAGTTAACTGCTTTCATTTTTCCGTACCCTTCCAGCATCTTAGCAAAACTTAGTTTCTCCTCTTACCTTTGTAGAAAAATGGCTTAAGAAGAGAAACATCGGAGCTAAAAGGTTTTAAATTGTATTTCTAGGCTCATTGTGGACTGTTCAAACCCAGCTAAGAGGAAGCCGGGCCTCCTAGTTTGAATCACTGGGTCTTTGGTGTATATAGCAACACTGCACTTTGAACCCCCTGATTACGAGGCATTCATTACTGGCAACAACATGGCCGTCATAATTCCACGGTCAAACTGTATATTTAGAAAGTAGTATCGATTAGCTTTAGAAAAGAGAGGTAACTAAACTACAACCCATTTTTCTCAAGCAGAGATTTCAGAGTCTTGGTCTCTAGTACATACTTTTTGACCACTTCAGTGAAAAGGATATGATGACTTTTGTAGCATATTTAGTTTTGCTGCAAGTATTGGTAGATGGGGGTATTTTCCTGTAGTTATTTTTTTCCCCTTTTTCCTTTTTTTCATCACTGTCTGCAGTGTAGAACATGGGGGAGGGGGAAGTTTGTGACAGAATCGTGTCTCTTTCTCATCATGAGAACGTGTCTGTGACAGCATTCTCTTCCCCTTGAGTATGAATATTTATTTCCTTATGTCCTTAGGGACGGAGTTAACTTTTAATTACAACCTGGATTGTCTGGGCAATGGCAGAACGGAGTGCCACTGCGGGGCAGAGAACTGCAGCGGCTTTCTTGGAGTGCGGCCAAAGGTCAGTTGTGCGGGTACCAGGAGTAGGCGTGGGGCTGTGGACAAGGCTTGTTTACGGCCATCTCGGGAAGAGCCAGCCGGTGGGAGCCCGGTTTAGTTTGCAGACCTTCACCTGTGCTTACCCAGACTTGGACTCTTCCCAGTGAAGCATGTCTTAGTGAGACCTCTTAGGTTCTGAAGAGGTATTTGTATTTCTGCTAGAATTTGAAGTTAGCAAAATCCTTTTTGAGAACTTTAAAAAAATTCACAATATACTAAAAACCATTGAATTATACACTTTAAAATGGTGACTTTAATGGTATGTGAACTATATATCAGTGTCTTTGTAATTTTAAAAAAATACCTATTCAGAAATCAATAAAAACAAAGCCTTGTTGGTTTTTTTAAAGATTTAATTTATTTATTTTTTAGAAAGGGGGGAGGAGGGGTAGAAAGAGAGGGAGAGAAACATCAGTGTGTGGTGTCCTCTCACGCACCTCCAACTGCGGATATGGCCTGCAACCCAGGCATGTGCCCTGACTAGGAATCGAACCAGTGGCCCTTTGGTTCACAGCCCACGCTCAATCCACTGAGCTACACCAGCCAGGGCCGAAGCCTCATTTTTATAACACTGTAATGGGATAAGTCCTCCTGGTGTTTTTAGTTTGTTGAGTAGTACATGAATTTAAATGAATGTGTGGTAGGATTTTTCCCTCCCCTTGAAAGCTTCATGCTCTGTGATCATTAACACTGTGATCCTTTTTCTGACAATAACTAAAATAAGTTAAAAACTATGATCTTTTTCTCTGGCCAGTCGGCAAGTGTGTCAACAACTGAAGAAAGGGCAAAAAATGCTAAGCTGAAGCAGAAGAGACGGAAAATCAAAACAGAACCAAAGCAGATGCATGAAGATTACTGTTTTCAGTGTGGAGATGGTGGAGAGCTGGTCATGTGTGACAAAAAAGACTGCCCCAAAGCATACCACCTCCTATGCCTTAACCTGACTCAGCCGCCGTATGGTAAGCTGGACCTTGTAGCCCCTTTCTCCGACTGGCATTTTTGTCAGCCGTTGTGTAACTCAGAATATGCTCCACTCTCAGTGGGGCCGTGGAATGGGAATCATTGAGCAGGACAAACAACCATAGCAAACAAAAATTATGCTAGTGAAAATCTGTCTCTTTGCAAATTTGGGATACCCGTGAGCCAGCAAGGATTGATAGGCTGCTTCTTTATTATTTTCACGGGTGAGTACTTTGGACTGTATCTCACATCTAGCCCTAACGACACACCCAGCCAGACCAGTGTTTGGCTGAAATTTGGACTTGAATTCAGTCTCTAATCAGAGAAGGTGGGAACTTAGGTTTTTCATGGGTAATCAAGACAGGCACTAACTTGGGCTCCTTTCTCCCCGCTCACCCCCAACTAGGAAAGTGGGAATGCCCGTGGCATCAGTGCAGTATGTGCAGCAGTGCAGCTGTTACCTTCTGCGAGTTCTGTCCACATTCCTTTTGTAAAGATCACGAAAAGGGAGCTCTGGTTCCCTCTGCACTGGAAGGCCTTCTTTGCTGCTCTGAACATGACCCCGAGTCTCCTGTGTCACCAGAATACTGGAGCAAGATCAAATGTAAATTGGAATCACAAGATCATGGAGAAGAAGTAAAAGAATAAATGGGTGGTGATTTCCTTTTTTCCTTTTTAGTTAAACGGGGGTAAAAAGCAAAAATTAAGTTGATGCATTCGCAAGAGGAGAGACCACGGCAGTGCACACAGCCCTCGCCATCAGTACTGCCTTACTGACTGAGAATGGGGGCCTGCTCCTGCAGGGAGAAGCGGCTGGTGATACCTGGCTTTTCTGTTTTGTTTTGCTGGTTTGAGGGTTCTTTTGTGTGCGTGGGTGGTGGATTCCCTGGGTCCTTTCTTGCCTTTTGTTGTGCTTCAGTGTCTTGCAGCCAGAAAAGGAAGTGTCTTGGCTTTTAAAATTAGAGCAAGGAGAAAAGTTTGTCAATGAGATAAATGTAAGGTCTATGATGCGTTCCTTGGGTGTTAAAAGCAAAAGTCACCATCATTCCTTTATTTATTTTTATTTTAAAAAATTTGAGAAGTGTAGTTCAGATAGTCTACTCAGTGTGTGTGTGTGTGTGTGTGTGTGTGTGTGTGTGTGTGTGTGTGTGTGTGTGTGTGTAGTAGGAATTGGAGAAAGCCCTCTAGCAAAGGAGATGACGATCTTTATATACCTCTTTACTGAATAGTGGGTAGGCTAACTTCTCTTTCTCTTCAAAATGTCTCTCATAGTCTTAGAGAAGCATTCTATGGAAGTATTGAATCTGGCTTCTTGCAAACGTAATGCCTCAATGGATTTTACCTCTGTGGTCTTTCAACCAGGGGGGCTTTGTGATACGATAAGTTTACATAGAAAGGTATAATGTGGTTTTTGGTTTTGTTTTGAAGGAAAAAGAGAAATGGAGGTACTTACTGAATTCAGAATGTTTTCCATTAACAGTGTGGGTATTTTTGATGAAGTGTGTTTGTGTGGACAGGAATGCATAGTGTTAGAGTGGTCATTCCTGTTTCTTGACACATCGATAAAGGCAGCTAAAGGAAGAGGAATGGCACAGACCAAAAAAGTTGGATCATATAAGTAAGCATCATTTTCTGTCACACCCTGGTCTGACTTGGAAAGAATTGAGGACATTTTATCTCCTGTCCCTTCTTCCCTCCCCCTAATCAAACATTCCCTTTGTCAGTTGACCCCTCAGCCTTGTTTCGTGGTGAAGCTCACAAATGAATTTGAATTGTATTTGAATAACTCTTGTTGGTTTAGTTCCTATGGGGGAGTGCGGAGCATCCCAAAGTTGTATGTCGGCAATTTCTATTTAGTGTTACACAGTGCTTAACATCGCCCGCATGGAAGGAGGGAGGGGAAGCACTTCTACAGGGCATGTGAGAGCCGCACAAACATACTTCATCTTTGGAAGCACTGAGGGGAAGCTTCCTAGAAAGCAGTGTTAGCGAACACGGTTGGCTGTAATGCTTGGATCTCATAATCCGAGTCTACCAAGATGTCTGCCCACAAAACTCACTTGCTCTTAATGCTTAGGAATATGTATATTCCAGTATTCCTTGTATGAAATAATTAGTAATGTCAGACATTGTTGTAACACTGTACTAAGTAGAAGTCTAGAATTAGCTTGAATGAACGTTAACTTGCTCTGTGAATTTTGACTGCCTACAATTGCTGGTACCTGGTAGCATTTATTTTCCCTCCAGAAGGTACCTAGTGACCTTGCGAAGGGAGGGAGGGTGGATGCTCCACCACATTCCTCCGGTTGTGCTACGTGTGTTCCTTTTCCTTATCAGTCTAGAGCTCTCCTCTGGAAAACAAGAAGAAAAGCTGTTTTGTGCCTCTTTTTTTTGTATGTAAATGTGCAATTATACTGGATTTTGTCTTGTAAAAAAAACAAAACAGAACAAAAAACACTACATTTCCTTCACTTAAGCTCCTAAACTGCCATTTGCCTGATTCTGGCTATTAATGCTGAGGTAACTTATTGGGCCTCCAGTAATTTTATTGATTAGATATGGTTCCAAAAGAGAGAGCAAAATGGAAATGCTATACATGTTACCATGTATATGATTGCTACAGGTAACATGAATCATATCTCACCAAAACACTAAACTTTGCTCTTGAACAATTATACACTTTGATGTCCTTTTAAAAAATAATTTAAGAAAATCTAGGTTTTATCATACTAAAACTTTATTTTATATATGTATATGATAAATGTTTGCTTTTTAAAACTTACTAACATGAAGGATTTCCTTTAATATTGAAAATGCAACTCTTGGTGAAGCAGTATCCAACATGAAATCTTATCTCCTTAGTGCTATTTAATATCTGAGACTTTTATATGGTAAGCCAGGGTATATCCTATATACTGCAAACACCTTAGGTTTAAGTATTTTTATGCAGTTTCTTCATTGTGTCACACTTTGTTTGTATATCTATAACAGAGCTCTGCTGAGACTTCTTAATCTTGCGGGGCGGGAGGGTGTGCTGACTAATAGGATCGCTCTGCCATTTCAGAAACCAGGGTAGAAAATGAAATAGCTACCCACAGCTCTGGAGTCTTTGTCCATGAGTGTTCTTTAACTGTCTAAACGGCAGTGTCGGTCGTGCCAGTGCCAAGGAGCTCTTCTCACACCTCCATTGGGTCACTGTCAACCTAGTTAATATATTGTAAAGATGCGGGTCCTAGAAGCAAAAAAAACCAAGTTGTGCTTTTAAGTGTGCATAGTATACACGCACTGTGCTTGCCTGGGCTTCACCAGTGAAATATTCCAAAAGACGTATTGCTCACTCGCAGCCAGAGGTTGGCATTTGTTAACTTTTAACAAACTATAGAAATGTTCCCTGAAAGTATAGTCTTGTTAACTTTTAAATCTGTATGTGGTCAGAGCATAAATTGTTGGTTTTTTATTCTTGTCCAAAAATGAAATAACTTAAAACAGCATGAGATAATGGTATTTTTTAACCTCGTGTTGATTGTTTAGAGGAAGAAGTGAATATAAGATTTTAGATAATCAGAAGTGTCAGAAGTTGGATGGGTAATAACTAAAGGTGGAATCCGGGGGAAGGATTCAGGTGCTGCTGAGTCTAGGGAAGGGCTGGTCCCGGCCGCAGTTGGGAATCAGGAGCGCTGCCCACAGCCCGCTGAGGAGGCCAGGAACCCTTCATTCCTGGAAGGCTGAAGCAGCTAGAGGATGTGATTCACTTTTTAAATATTTAATCAGGGCTAGAATTAGGAGTAAGTTGGGGTTTATTTTCATTCTCGTTTTAACAGGTTCCCACTCTATCTTAATTCTCAAAAATAGTCTGGCCTAAGTTATGGAATGGGCTGATCTTTAGAATCATTGAAATTTGGATATTTCTTTGTGTTCATGTCAGGAACATATCTCAACTAAGTAATAATAATGATAATAATAATAATAATGATAATAATAGGGGCAAGTAAGGCTGCTCCCAGTTCCCTTCTGTCGCTTCCAAATATTTGGAAACATGCCTGTAAATAATGTTGTGAACTTCTGAGATAATCATGTAAAGGACTGCTAGACAGGTCAGGCTCTTGGACAACTTCCTCTCCCAGTTCATGCAGTGGGGGTTCCTTTCTGAGCAGCTCGTTGCATGGTGTGTGTTCCAGTCAAGATCAAGCCCAGATCTGCAGTCGGGAAACAGGCAGCGAGGCCAGTTATACAGAATGTAATCTCTGGACTACCCAGCATTTGTTGCTTGTCTTTCATTTCATTTTAAAATAAAAGCTCTTCCTCTAGCTTTCACCTTAAAGTCAAGGTACTGCTACTTGCCATGTCCCAACAGGGTAAGAAAACAAGGGACCTTGTTGGGGTCCTTGCAGCTTGGGAAGCTTGCGTTTGATGTACTTGTACATGAGGTACGACGACACTAGGAAGTTGCTTAATGGGCAGTGCAAATTAGTTCTTGCATTACTGCATCTAGCCATCCCGAGTTGTCCAAGTTGCAGCAGACATGAAGTGATCGTTTGGAATAATTTCCTTTGGCCTAGAGCCACGTAGAATTGGTCTCTGGTTATTTGTAAACAAAGAGAACTTGCTTCCATTTTAAGATAAGCTAGGGAAAAGATATAATTAGACAGCTTTGTCATGTATTAACAAATATTGAAAAGTTGGAAATTTGTATATACTGAAATCTACCAACTTTTTTTCTGGGGTGGGGCACAGGGGGAAAAGAGGGTTATATTAGGGTAAGGGTGGGGAATGATAATGTTTACCACAGGTACGAAGTAGTCACTTTAACATTGAGACCTCTGCCTCATTGAATTCAGGTTTTTTAAGTACTTGAAATTCTTCAGATTCTCCTTATTTTAACAGTTATTTTAAAATTTATGAAGTAGAAGCATTGTTTTGTATACTGTTTTGAAAATAAATAGCTTAGTCTCCTATCCTCTTTCACTTGGGTTAAAGGTGAAGTTCTGCAAATGGGAGAGCATGTTCACAGTAGAATCTCAGATTTAATGTACACATTTGAGGGAGAGACTCTTGCATGGGATACCAGCAGCATTTTTATGAATATTTTTTATGTATGTTCTTTATTTTGTCAGCCCAAGCACCTCTTCTTTCCTTTTAATATATGCCTGTACAGGAAAACACAGAAATTTGCACTTATGTTACACTCCTGAAATGCTGGGTGTAACCTGTGTGTTTCAAAAACCATTTCCATTTTTTTTCATTGGTCCATTGCTTAAGTGTCAAGTTCAGGTGCTTGTGGCACATATGTGTGAAAGGGAAGGAGAAGAGAATTACCTGTCCTTTGGTAGCCTCTGAGAGTCATTAACGTGCAAATAAAAGGGAAAAGGGTGAATAGTTGCCAAAGTCATTTACTTGGTCCTTAGTTCTCTTATGTGACATTCCTGTGTCTGCATATTGACAAGAAAGCAGCCTCAGGTCCCAGTGCTCCCCTTTCTGCCGGCCACAGACTCCTGATGTGTGGGAATGGCTCTCATTATCCCTCACATTACCTAGATTAGGTATTTGTAAGGTGTTCTTGTCAGTTTGGAAGTGGACTGGATAAAATTTACCTTTACTTTGTTGTCATTTATATCGCTCCTTATGACATTTGTGCTGTCACATGCCCTATGTTAAAAAAGAAAATCATTATTGCCACCAACAACCAAGATGCTAAATGATGAGTACATCTGGGTAATAATAAGATTCTTTTTATATACAAGGGTGTGTGCATAATTGGTATTGATATGAGAAATTCATTTGTACCCACTTGTGATAATTGCACAATAAACACAGATACCTACAGATTCTGTTTTCATTTCCTTGTGATCTTTATCTATGATAACAACCTTTGTAGATTGGTTATTTCTGTACTTTGTTTATCTATAATAAACTTTGTAGATCCTGTGAAATGTTATTTTGCCTAAATCACTTGAGACTTGAGTCTTTAATAACAAAGCATCGATATTCACTAAAGTCAATCTCTTTTTGAGTTTCTGTGACTTGGCTAGAAGCTTGACACTAAGGGATTAGTGTTAATTTTCCCTGGGGGTGTTCCACTAGGGCATTACTATATATTGACTTGATGTTGCCACACAGACTTCAAGATATATGATATTTTGGGGATTTTGTTGATTGACATATGTTTTATTGCATAGTGTGAAATGTGCAAAGCTTGGTTAACCTGTATATAGATAGCTTATTGTTGGCTAGTTATCGTGTATTTAGGATTGCCTGTACTATTTAAGCTGCTTATTGCTGTGTGTGCTGGTAGGAACATATAATTTTCATATATTATATTTACTGAGATGTTGCCTTTTTTATTTTACAGATACTTTGGAATTGAAATGTTTTGGGGGGGTTGTTTTAGGGTGGTTTTTTTTTTTTTTTTTTTTTTTGCTTCCATGAGGATTAATTTGTAAAGGTTTTTAATGACATCCCACTGGTTCCAGATTTTGCTTGAGATTGACTTCAATAAATTGTCCTGTATGTTCCAAATTAAATATGTGGACTTGTTCATTGCCTGTACTTTCTTGCTATAAATCACTGGGCTCGAGGCTTTCATGGGAGGGAGGGGACCTAACGGCGGGGCAGCATGACCCAGTACGTACATCCTTAGGCATGACGCCTGCAGCACAGCAAGTCCTGAGGGAGTGCCAACCACATATTTCTTCAAAATGCTATGCTGCTAGTAAACTTGGACCCGAAAATGCACAGGTTTGTTTTGTGTTCGTGGAAGAAATGTCCTTAGAGAACGTTGCTACCTCCTGTGGTGTGTTAAGAGAATATCCAGGCACTGGCCAGTTGGCCGAGGATGTGACTGGGAGCTTGCCGTCATTTTTAGCCCATTGGTTTACCAGACGGAAAGGTGACTGCTGCTGTGCAGGACAGTGGGAAAACAGCATTGCTTGTGTTTCATTACTTTGGCTAGGTGATGCTCTGAGAACCCCGCAAAGCTGCCACTCACTCCTTCCTAAGTGGCTGGCGTGGCAGTGAGGAGGTGGCCGACCACCTCCCCGCAGTTCCCCGACCGCCCGCCAGAGGGGGATGGCAGGCGCCAGAGGGGGATGGCAGGCGCCGAGATCCAGCCTCCGGTGGGCGGGGCGGGGGGCGGCTTCGAATCCTGTGCCGCGGCAGCCACGTCAGTGCGTCGCCGGGCCAGTCAGTGCGGCCGGATGGAGCAGATGAGGAAGGCAGCGGCGGCCTTCGGGGCCGAACTGGGGGTGCGGATGGTGCTGTTCGCGGTCTTCCAGTAAGTGGTTTTCGGGTCAGACCCCAGGCCCCCACAGCCACCAGCTCAGGTTCTGAGCCACGCCCGGATCTCTCCGCCCCAAGGTCCGGGTCCTGCCTTGGGAAGCCCGGAGAAAGCTAACCAACGTGCTCCCCACGTTTTTTGTTTCCTTTTAGGGTAACGGATTTTCTGCCCCCCTTCCAGAGGGTTATCCAACCGGAGGAGATGTGGCTTTACCGGAATCCGTATGTGGAAGCCGAGTATTTCCCCACCAAGCCGATGTTTGTGCGTAGAGAACGAGCCCTTCTGCCCCTTGACACTCATTGCTGCGCTTTAATGCTGGGAAGCATCCTGGCTCCTCATTTGTCTTTGCAGGGAACTTACTGCTCCCTTTGTTGATGTCCTAAGATTTTACTGCTTAATGTCTAAGATCCAGCTGTAGAGAGCAGCTAGCCTTCTGTTTTAGCTCAAGAGCTGTGTCCTGTGAGCTGTTGATTCGGATGGCCTGGTGCAGCTGGTCATTTAGAACAGCACTGCGTTTACTGGCAGAACTGCCCAGTGCCCACTTAACGCACAGACACCAAGATGCACACTATGTCTGTCCTGGGAACTGTCGGGTCTCATGCATGTCTGTCACTGCCATCCCTCTTCCCTGTAGGAGCTCCTTTGACAACCAGTTCTGTGGTTTTGTTTGGTTTTTCACGTTTCACATGTTCTGGTTCAGGCCATCGCATTTCTCTCCCCACTGACTTTGATCCTCCTGGCCAAATGTCTCAAGAAGGCAGACACAACAGACAGCAAACAAGCTTGCCTGGGTAAGAACTAATCCTTTCTAGCTGGTGTCTTAGTGCCGGACCGAGGGCAGGGGTGGTGACCTCCGTGGCCTCCACATACTGAGGCCTGTGTTTCTGAAGTAAGTGTCTGCCCCCTGCACCTGTGAGACAGAAGAATAGCACAGCAAGAACTTGGCTAACCTGGCAGGTGTGCCTAAGTGCCCTGGATTGTGTATGCCTCAGAAATGTCTTCAGCCTCGTGTGGTAGTTCTCCCTGTGCTACACCGGAACAGTCATTGGGGGCCAGAATTATTTTCATACTCTACTTTGGTTGGAGCCTGACCATTCCTCTATCTCGGAAAGGTCATGACTATGGTCTTCACAAGACAGTGACCATGCAATTCCTCCTAGGCAAATGCCACTAACAGTAAGTTTCTTTGCTTTCCAGCTGTCAGCCTTGCCCTGGTTCTGAATGGTGTCTTTACCAACACAATAAAACTGATAGTGGGGAGGTAAGTGACAAGAGTTTGCCACCCATGGTCTGCCTCAGGCATTACCTCGATCAGAGAGTTGGTTATCGGCACTCCAGCACATGTCTTTATCCTTTCTTCTTTATTCTCAGCCTGTTCTTTCTTACCTCCTTACACCGTAGTCCTGCAGGTGACACACACCTGGGTTCTTTTCTGCCCAAACAGCATTTTGCACTGACAGACACAGAAGTCAGTGTCCTCTAGAGTACCCCTTGAAGCTACACTGTGATGTGCTCTTTGCCCTAAAAAATAATCACATGCTGGAGTGGCTTTTTCCCCCATGAATAAAATATTGACCCTGGAAATAAGGCATTTCTCTTGGTGGTGACTATCCTAATCCAGTCTCATTATTTTGCCTGAGACACGACTTGACCAATAGTTAACAGGATTTATGATGTCTGATACACCAAAAAATAATTTCTGGAGTTGTAAACAATCACTGTTCAGACCATGCTCATTTCTTCCAGGCCACGCCCAGACTTCTTCTACCGTTGCTTCCCTGATGGGCAAGCCCATTCTGACTTGACATGCACAGGAGATGAGGACGTGGTGAATGAGGGCCGTAAGAGCTTTCCTAGTGGACATTCTTCTTGTATGCATACCATGTGGGCTCTACTATGCTGTTTGGGGATCACTGAATTTAATGTAGGAATATCTCACTACGCTTGTTCTTGTATCTAGAAATTGGACAAACCCCACCCTCTTTTTTTAAGGGCCCCAAGATTTCACAAATGTGAGCCTCAAATATTAGGGTAAATATTTTTAAGAATAGGGGAGGTAGTTTACCTTCATGAAATTTGAACATTTTATTACTGTATTATTTTCTAGATCCTACCATCTTGTACTAATCATAAAAATATGAACTAACCTTTATTAATACTATGTCAGGTGTTTTAGAAAGCATTGTAGATTCTTACCTCATCTGACACTATACTAGCCCAGTGATGTGGATACTATTATTTTTGTGATTCCCATTTATACATGAGCAAACTAAGGCATCAAGAACTTAAGTAACCTGCTCAAAGTCATAAAGCTAGTATTCTAAAAACTACTCTTAGGATATTAGCTTCCTGACACAAAATAAAGTCCTTTACTTTTCCTTTTGTTTCATCTTCCTTATAATCAGTGATCTACTCCAGAAATAAACAAAAAAAGGGATAAAACATGTTTATGTCCCCTGGCTGCCTATTATCAGATTAGTGAGGTAGCTTCCTTTAAAAGACATAAACTTACAGGTTTTTCCTCTTCTAGTTGCATTTGCTGGTCTGGCCTTTGCTTCCTTCTACCTGGCAGGGAAGTTACACTGCTTCACACCACAAGGTCGTGGGAAATCTTGGAGGTTCTGTGCCTTTCTATCACCTCTGTTTTTTGCAACTGTGATTGCACTGTCCCGGACCTGTGACTATAAGCATCACTGGCAAGGTAAGTAAGGTATTCATGCCATGGAAGCTTCCATGTATCACTCATCACCTAGGTATCTCTAGGACTTGGTGCAAAGGAGATGCTCGCTAAGTATCTGCTGAATAAAGAAGTGAGTATGGCATGGTCTGGGTTCTGTACTAAGAGCATGCATTTATAAATATATGGAAAAGGAGAAAATGCACTGTTACCTTTTAAAGAGATTACCAAGGAGGAACTGTCCTAGATTTTCCCATTATTTTAATGCATCATAATTCAGAATAAACTATAAGAAAGTTTTTACAACAAACCTCAAAGCTCCATTTGTTTACTGTCTTAAAATAAAAATCAGGTTCATTGCATGAGATTTTGTTCAGAAATGAAATTAAAATTCAAGAAAATATAAAATTGTAATTAAATTGTACTTATAAGTAAACCAAAGAAATTTAAGTTGAATGATACAGTAAAACATCCAAATTACACAGTATCTTCACAAAAAAAAAACCCCGACAGTTTTGCCCAGAGAGCATTAGACAACCTATTTTAAAGAATAAACACTTTTCATAAAGAGAGAAAGTCCCTGAAAAGCTTATTCCTTCCTCTAGAACTCTAAATGATGAAAAACCATGAGAATTGTTAATAGCCTGAAATGAACCTGTTATTTTTCTGAATTAAAAAAAAAATTTCAATCTAGTGTACTTGGAAAGAGACTTCTGATATTTACTTAACTAAAGATGTGTTTTGATTTGGTGTTTAGAGAACAATGTAATACAGATAATCCAGTATAAACTATATGATCAAACTGAGAAAGCCCCAAACTTGGGTTTTTGCTGGGCAAACAATCAGAATAACCTGGAAGGCCAAGTTCTCTATATGCTGAGCTAATGTGATTTAAGAGTCTAATATGATTAAGAGAAGACTTTATCTCCTCTCTCTTTATATCCTCTCTCTTCTAGATGTACTAGTTGGATCCATGATTGGCCTGACATTTGCCTATGTCTGCTACAGGCAGTATTATCCTCCTCTGACTGATGCAGAATGCCATAAACCATTTCACAACAGAGTTGTACTTCCCAACGCACAAAAGATTTCTAATGATCCTTATCATTTCGACGTTTAGAAATTGGAACTACCTCTATAGAGAATAGTAGGTGAATCACCCCTCCTATCTGGACCATGGTAAGATAAGAATGTCTTACCTTTTGACCTCTAAAGAGGTACAGTGAGGACGTCAGCACTTCATTTTTGCTTCCAAATGATTATGCAGTTTTGCCCCTGGTCACATGAATTTAGCATGAGGAGTCAAAGATCTTTTTTACTATGGTATACCACACATTCTGAAAAAGAGATCTTTCAGTAGTCCTCCAATAGCTTATGAATCTGGTCCATCAGATCGGTATCCCAAGATCTACAGTATTTTTAGATTTAATTTAAATGCCGTTCTTGCAAGGATCTTGTCACAAAGAAGCCTTTATATAGTCCCACTTTATCCTAGGAGCTAAGTTAATTATCAAAGCTTCATTTTCCATACCTCAAAACCTTAAAATTTAGGGGCGTGACTAAATTATTTTGGTTTGGTTTACTTTTTCTGGTGACAATTCCATAAAGCCTTAAAGAGGAAGGTGTCTGTTTCTGGCTTGTTTACCATTATTATGCATATCTTATCCAAGTCCCCCCAGATAATACTGTGGGCATAAATAATCTGTCAAATTACTAAGTAAAACAGAACATGGTTAGGAGTATGGTTTCAGTGCTAACAACTGATGACTGTTACTACCTCATTAGTCCTTAACTGAGCTCAGGAGTTTCTCTCCCTCCCTTCATGACTGAAGATCTGCCCAAATGCATCGACTCTGCCAAGTAGGTAAGGCAAGAAAGAAAAATGACAGATATCATTCTATGGAAGACAAATGTTCTTCTGTCCCTTCTTCACACAATGAGCTATAAGGAACAATTACAGGATACCATCAGAAATTGATGCTATAGTGTCTGCAACTACCTTTCTCTTTATTGAGATTATATGTTAAATATGACCTTGTCTTATGTATTTCTTCCTATAAATTTTCAGTATATTTCTTTTCTCTAGTAAATGTGATATTCAAACAAAATGGTGAATGTGCTTTTTTAAATACGTAAGTACCACTTGAGAGCTGGAACATTTTCACAGTAAAACAGTTGGTTTCCTCATCTGACAGAAGTGATTCAACTACAATAGTGGCAGTCGCAGTATCTACCTTATAACTGCTGTGCTTTAAATTTTTTTTAAATTCTGAACTACATCTGCCTATAACAATGAAAACACCAGTAAAGGGACTTAAATGTTAGTTTTTGCCTGCAACTTTTATTTTTTAAATTTGTTTAGTAATCCAAAGGGAATAGAAAATGGTTATTGTACTGATACTCTTTATGATGGAGATGAACCAGGTAACGGTAGGCAGAGGGTCAATATGGTTTTATTTCAGTATTTACTAGAGTTTTAAATATAATCATGTAAAAAACAGACATTTCAAAAAGTGCAAAATATTAGAAAGCAGTTCAGTGCTATTCTTTCCATGCAAACAATATCTTTTGCTAAGATAGGCAATACCAGTTCTGGAGTTTGGAATATGTATAAAATGACACTCTGTACCAGAGTTAAAAATAGGCTTGGTCAAGAGATTGCACATGATGTAATTGCAATAGTGCAAATAATACAAAACTAAAATCCCCCCATTGACGTGCCAACAGAAATCAAGGCTCAACTACAAGAGGGTAAACACAGCCCACATGGGGACCACCTGGAGTGCTCAGCTCAGATGAACCAGGAGGCTGTGCTCCTGGGCCCTACAGGACACCTACTGCAATAGGCCACTCTACCAAGCCCAGGAGATAGCAGCTCTACCTAATACATACACACACAAGGAATCTACCAAAATGAAGAGACAAAGAAATATGACCAAAATGAAAGAACAGAACACAACTCTTCCCCCCCCCCAAAAAAAACCATCTAAAAGTGGAGACAAGCAGTCTACTGAATGCAGAGTTCAAAACACTGGTTATAAGGATGCTCAATAAACTTAGGGGGAGAGTAAATGAACTTAATGAGAACTTCAACGTAAAAAAGGACATACCCTATTTTTTGAACTATAAGATGTACCCCCCCATTTGGGAGGAAAATGCAGTGGCAGCCTCCTGTGACCCCGCCCCACCACTGCTGCCACTCCCACCCCAGTGAGCCAGGTAAGTGACATTCGGACTATAAGATGCACCCCCTTTTCCTCCCAAGTGGGGGGGTACGTCTTATAGTCCAAAAAATATGGTAGATACCATAAAAAAGAACTAGTCAGAAATGAAGGATACACTAAATTAAAGAATAATTTAGCCCTGGCTGGTGCAGCTCAGTGGACTGAGTGCCAGCCTGGGAACCAAAGGGTCATGGTTCAATTCCCAGTCAGGGGATGTCTGGGTTGCAGGCCAGATCCCCAGTGGGGACGTGCACAAGAGGCAACCACATATTGATGTTTCTCTCCCTTTCTTTCTCCCTCCCCCTCTCTCTAAAAATAAAATCTTAAGAAGAAATTTAAAAACATAATTTACAGGGAATTGACAGTAGAGTAGATGAAGCTGAAAACCAAATCAGCAATATGGAATATAAGGAAGCAAAAAACACCCAGTCAAAACAGTAAAAAGAAAAAAGACTTTTAAAAAATGAGGACAGTGTATGAAGCTTCTGGGACAACTTAAAGCATACCAATATTCGTATCATGAGAGTGCCAGAAGGAGAAGAGAGTGAGAAATTGAGTATTTGAAAAAAAGATGAAAACTTCCCTAACCTGGTGAAGGAAATAAAATGCAAGTCTAGGAAGCAGAGAGTCCCAAACAAGATGAACCCAGAGAGGCTCACACCAAGACCCATCATAACCAAAATGCAAAGGATTAAAGACATAGAATTTTAAGCCCAGCAAGAGAAAAGCAGTTAACTACAGGGGAGCCCACATAAGACTCTCAGCTGATTTCTCAAAAGAAATTTCAGGCTGGAAGGGATTGGCAAGAAATATATTCAAAATGATAAAAAGCAAGGACCTACAGCCAAGATTAATCCACCCAGCAAAGCAATAATTTAGAATATACAGACAAAGAGCTTCCCAGACAAAAAGCTACAGGAGTTCATCATTATCAAACTAGTATTATATGAAATGTTAAAGGGCCTTCTTTAAGAAAATAGAAAATATGAACAATAAAATGGCAATAAATACATATCTATCATCAATTAAATCTAAAAAATAAATGAACAAACAAAACAGACACAGACTCAAAGAGATTATTTTGATGGTTGCCAAATAGGAAGGAGTTAGGGGCTGGGTGAAAAAGTTGAGGGTATTAAGTACAAATTGGTTGTTACAGAATAGTTATGGGGATGGATGTAAAGTACAGCACAGGGAATAGTCAGTATTGTTCTAATAACTATGTACGGTGTCAGAGGGATATGAGGTTTATTGGGATGATCATATAGTTATACAGTGTCTAATCACTAGGTTGTATACCTGAAACTAATGTAATATTGTATTTCAACTGTAATTGAAAAATTAGTAAGTGATTTTAAAATATATACAACTAAATAAAGGATTTAAATCAAGCTTACTGGAGCTTCCAGGTTGGGGAATCAGAATCCTCTTATGTGCCAGCATATCAGGACCCCCAAATCCAAAACATCACCCTATTATATATCCTCATCTAGCTGTTAGTTGAACAAGAAATAAGCAAATCTGATCTTTCTGGAGATTTGCTGAAGTTGCAAATAAATATAAAAAGGAAAAATGATCATGTCGTTGAGACCCAAGACTTTGTTTGCTGCTAGACCTTAGAACCTAAATATCCATGGAGCTTAATGATTAAAAGAGTGGGCATGCAAAGAATGAGAGAGGTAGGTTTGGATGTTTTTATGTCAACAGCTGAATGCAGGAACAGCCAGCCAAATGAGACAGATGCACAGGACAAGGCATGGGAAGAGTATGGAGTTTCGGGCCCTCTCCTCTCCCCTCTCCCTGTATCTCCAGCCAAGAAATTCTCCAAATCGAGTGAAACTTGCTACATTAGCTGACATTTGATATCCATTTGGTTATCATTTTTAAATGTTTTGTTGTTATTCCCAGCCACAAAGGCATCTATTGCCTTATAACACTGCATCATGATTAGAATGCTTATTTGTATTTTCTTCTAGATGTTTCTTAACTTTTAGAATAGAGTTGCTTTTTATTTTTAATGAAATATGTCCCCTAACATGCAAGTAAATTAAAATGTAAATATGGTGACTTTGCTTAATTACAACCAGAACAGAAATAACTGTTTTCATGACATGTAGTCCTTTGAAACAATTAACTTTTACTGACTCAACATAACTTTGTACATTAGAATACATATCAATTCAGCTGCTAAGGAAGCAAAGGGAAACTAAGAGACAATTTTGTCACCCACTTCAGCTTGCCTTATTCAGGAGATGTTGAAATTGGTAGATCCTAGGGTACTTAAGACTTTCTGGCTCTAAGTCATTTGCCTTTGTTACTTTTCTTTATAAAGCTGTATAATTCATAAATAAATATTTCAGTTCCCAGAGGAAAAAATAATCAAGCTTATTACCCTGTGTAATATACAACCAAAATACCACAGTGAGTAGATAAGATATAAAGCTCTTTTACAGTTACCTGCCCCTCACACCAAGAAAGAAACATTTATTAGCACAAGAATTGCTTTAGCTAGCTATCCAGAGTTATATTGTTCATCTTTGGTTATAAGAACCCACTTTTGCTTCTCCTTTGGTTTACTCCTAAATAGTGCCAATTCTGCTGGAGCATTAAGCTTTCCCTATAATACATATTGAATGCTACTTAATTCTCAATAACACTTAATTCAAATTCAGAATTCCCATATAAAGAAAATAAAGTATTCAATTTATCTGAAACTACTTAGTGACTTAGTCAACATTAGTCTATAAATAGATAGGAAAAGAAAGGCTAGGCTCTACCTGTACCCCAACCTTACCTCTACCATCTCTAGGGTGACATTAATTAACCTTCCCCTACCTTTTCTCTCCAGAAAGAAAGTCCAGTGCTGTTGAAGGGATGGTTTAAGTGAATGTTAATTCCAGTGCTTTTGATACCATGGTACATTTAAAAAAAAAAAAGAAAGAAAAACATAGCCTGCCTGCCTATTCAGTGGCCTGTGGAAATCTGAGGGGAGTGTATCACCAAGAAAACTGCAAAGACAATGACAAACTCTGACCAATGAGAAAGAAAATATAGAACATTGGTGAGCAGATGCCTTGGAAAAAATTAGTCTATATTTACCTATTTTCTTCAAAGCACATCTCACTTTGCATTTTCTGACACTGACTCTGCAGTAGCTGTTCATTGGCCCATATAGGCATGTTTTTCTTTTAGAATATGAAAACTTTTCCCCCTAGCCAAACCTACCTGCTCAACCAACACTCCTGTGCCATGAGCATTTTAAATAAGCATTCTGATTTATGAGTACATAAGAAGGTAATGTTTACCGTGTTTTTAAAGAGGATACACAATACTACCTTCACCCAAGTTGATATGGTAGGTGACTTACACAATTCTATTCCACCATAAATGCACCACTAAGAGATTTTATTTATTCACGACTGCATAATTTCAAGTTTGTCAACTTTTATAAAAGCTTTACCCTCAAGAACATTAGCTACTATCAAATAAGTAGGTCAGACTTCTAGATGTATAACATCTTTGCTTTATAATGATACACCTAATATGAACTAATTAGTCCACTTTATACTCTCAGATGAGCTCAAACAGCTGTAAAAACAATGAACAGCATAGCATCAGTGATTCTTAGCAATAAACCTGTCAGTCAGCTGGAGAGAGAGTAAACAATACTGTTTAAAGCTACATATTAGTCTTTCTTCATACAGGATTGGTAAAAAAAGATGGCTCAAAGGAATGACTGCTCAACAGCCTTTTCTGTGTCCACTTAGACTTAGTTTTCAAATGCAGGGAACACTAATGAGAGATGAGTATACCCCAAGTGCCTGCTTCTAATAGTCTGCTTCCATACTAGAATATTTCCTGGAAAATTTTCTACCAACCCAAATCAAACTCAAAACAGGCAACACCATCTGACATAATAAGCGATGAAGTGTGGCACCTACATACCATCATCAAAGAATTAAGAATGCAAACCACCCTCAGCTATGAAGAAAGAATGGCATGTATATATATGAAGTGAAGCCAGTGGTTAAAAAGTAATAGGATGTTTTCCCTTTGTTTTTCCATTCACTTCCAAAATGGAAGATTATCTTACAAAGCCCCGAATGATGAGTGGCAGGCAACATGCAA